GTTCTTGCATGACCAGCATACTCACCAGACATGTCACCCATTGAGCATGTTTAGGATGCTCTGGATCGGTGTACACAACAGTGTGTTCCAGGTCCTGCCAATATCCAGCAACTTTGCACAGCCATTGAAGAGGAGTAGACCAACATTCCACAGGCCACAATCAACAACCTGATGCGAAGGAGATGTGTTGAACTACGTGAGGCAAATGGTGGTCACACCAGATACTGACTGGTTTCCTGACCACCACCACCCCCACCTCCGGACCCCCCCAGTACAGTGGAACTGCACATTTTCGAGTGGCCTTTTATTGTGGCCAGCCTAAGGCACACCTGTGCAATACCCATGCTGTCTGATCAGCATCTTGATATGCCACACCTGTGAGGTGGATGGATTATCTCGGCAAAGGAGAAGTGCTCAATAACACAGATTTTGACAGATTTGTGAACAATATTTAAGAGAAAAAGCCTTTTGTGTACATAGAGAAAGTTTTAGATCTTTGAGTTCAGCTCATGATGAATGGGGACAAAAACAAAAAGTGTTGCGTTTATAATTTTGTTCAGTGTATATGTGGTCTGGGACCAGGTTAATCACAACAGCCTCCACTCTTCTGGTTTCTGTCTTTTCACCAGATGTTGAATCTGGCTGCAGGGATTCGCTACCATTCAGCCACAAGACCATTAGTGAGGTCCAACACTGATGATAATGTCTGGCTCACAATCGGCATTCCAGTACATCCCAAAGGTTTTGGATGGGGTTGAGGTCAGGGCTCTGTGCAGGCCACTCAAGTTGTTTCACACCAAACTGGGAAAACTATTTAATGGACCTTGCTTTGTTGTGTCTCTGTGGATGGCTGAGAGTTGGTTATTGTCAATACTTGGACACCTGGGGATCTTCTCTCATATCATGTCCACTTACCAATGGAACAAAGAGGGGTTTGTTGAAATCCTCCTCCAAGCTTACATAAATCAAGATACAAAAGAACGAAAATGAACATCTAAGATTTGTCACTTTCAAAATTTCAAAACTTTCATCTACAAAATCGTCTCAGTAAGCTAGTGTCCTTTTGGACGTGTGGACTGTGACTTTGGTCCTCTGATCGGATGAGTCATGATCCTGGTCTAAACTTAGTGCTGCTTCTCTCAGCTGAATGTCTGCTCTTTATAATCACACCTGGCCTCTCAGGGCCGCTACAGAGGATTTAATATGTGAATACAGACAGGAAGCTAGACCGGGCCGGAGGAGAGCCGACGCCACATGGCACCATCTTTATTCACACTGCAGTCAGTCCTCTGGTGTTTTTTCGCAGCATTAGTCACTCTCTCAGTTCTCCCTACACCTGTTTCTAAACACAAACTGTGGTAGATTGTGCTAAACTCTCTTGTAGCTCTGAGAAAACACAGCCAGACCCCCGAGTACTTATGATTGTTTTCTTCTGTCTCATTCTGCTAAACATTGAGGTCCCCAGAGATGAAGTAAAACCCGGGCAGAGTCTGGGATTCTGCAAACAAAAATACTGTCTGTTTGGTCTCATTATTTGCTTCCTGCCACAGTGGGATTTATATGATCTTAGTAATGATTCATATTCAAATAGCATGTTTTCTTATGTACTTAGAAAGTGCAGCTGAAGAACTAAAATGAAAATAATTCATATCTGCTGGAAGATTGGCACCCAACACAAGGGATTGTTTGGCTGACTGGAAGCTGATGCTAAATGTGCCAAAAGGCTTCACTTGACATCATTGTGGAGTTTGATTTTTCTTCCATTTTCTCTCCTTTTTGGAATGTGTTTATGGATTAAATTCCCTTTGCATTCAGTCTGAGCTCACCTTACAACAAGTTTGTGGCATCTGTGACAGCTTATAAGTCTATAACTATGTGACAAGTGGCAATTCATTATTTACTTCCAAAACAACCCAACAAGTGTCATTAACTCAAGTGAACCCTGAACAGCTTTGGATCTAGTGAGTTCAACTACACAATAGAAAGACACCAACATTGACTGTTGGTAGGAGACTGGATGTGACAGTATATAGTACGCTGTCGCATAAACACTCCACACACACAGTGAATTTGTACTTTGCTTGCACAAACACAAGTAGTTTTCTGTCATGCTGGGTTCTGCACCCTTTTTAACCAGTTGTGTTGTTCAGACAGCGCACACCAGCTTTCAATATGCACAAGTTTTGGCATCAGATTTTTCATTTTGTCGCTCTCACATTAAATAGAGAAATAAATCATACTGATAATCTATTATAAATGATTCTGATAAGTGATTAAATATGATATACATCCTGTATTTGTCAACCCTTGTGATTTTCCTGCCTTGATTCCACCAATAAAAAAAGCGCTGCTGGCTGCAAAATACAACATGGCAACGACCATAATGGCAAACTTGAGGATTTGAAGCGGTACTCTAGAAATCAATGGGTCATGTCACGACAGGTTCACACTGCCTTTAAACACAGAGCGAGAGAGATGACCAGACACACACACACACACACACGCGGCTTTCAAGGCACTTCTGCCTCCTGTCTTAACCCGGCATCAGGATGTAAATAGAAGTTGTTTTAAAGCTTGAAGTTGTTATCATTTTCCTCATAAGAACGTTCTCCTTGCGACTGAAACACATCAGTGTTCTATCGATGCAAAACATTTTTCCTTGCTCACAATAAATATCCTCCTCTCAGATCATAACACGACTCGCATACACAGCAGAGCTTCTCCTGTTCATCGGTTTCTAAGTAACATCCAGTTATCTGCGCATAATTCTGAATGAAAGGATAATTCCAGATGATAAAATGCTACCATGTGAGTGGGGGCAGCTCTCCAGTCCTCCCAGTTCATCTCTCAGCTCTTCATGTGGATCTTCAGAGGAGGAGAGGCCTCAGGAGATCAGCTGGTAATCCACCCTGACACTGACTCGAACTTCACTCAGCATACAGAGAAAATGGATTTAAAGGAGGCCGCAGCTTATAGAGGATTCGTTTTCTGAGTCTTTCTCCTACTCTCCAGCTATAATACAATTATAGGTCATATATGTGTGTGTGTGTGTGTGTGTGTGTGTGTGTGTGTGTGTGTGTGTGTGTGTGTGTGTGTGTGTGTGTATATCTGGTCTTATATTGACTAAACCCTGTCATGTGAAAACACTAAAAAGTCCTCATTGAAATTTCTGAACAGAATGAATCCCCCTGACACTTGATCGCTGAAGTGTTTGTCGATGATGAAAGTGAGGAAGGATTTCTGTCGACTGCAAGCTCGTCGTGACGGAGAGTTGAGGGGGGAAAAAAAACAAAATGACAAACCCTCCAAACCAAGTCTTTTGAGCCGCCTCTGAATCACTGTCGCCACATTGACTGTACGTTTGATGCAACATCGCCATCTGCTGATTGATGAGAGCAACACTGAGTTAACAGAAAAACAGAAACGGTGTGAAGGAGTGTTCTGAATCCTGATGAGGAACGTCCACTCACAGTGTCAGAGAGGAGTTGATTCAACAAGGCGTTGGATTATATTAAATTTTAACTGTAAGCCCATTACATATAGGGAAAAAATATTAGACATTTCTTAAAGTTAGAGACTAGCAGATAAGGAAAGTGGAACATCTAGCAGCTAAAGAGTCATATATTTTTAATCAGTTATAAGGAGAGTGAATATTGGATTTGCATTCATCAGGTCGACACATGCTTACATTTACTGGTTAGGTTAGGTTTAAATGGGCTATCTCAGCTTGGGCTTAGAGACCACAAATTCAAAATCAAAAATAAAAGTAAACAATGCAGAAAAATGTGCCCTGTGTCTGTTAACCTATAGCAGTGATCCTCACTATTTTCTTCACAAGAGCAAAATCAAGTGGAGAGCCACTTTTACGACAACATACCAAGTCACCTTTGCTAATGTGTATTTCTACATATAAACTGGACATCCCACAAAAAAAGAAACAACACAGCCAATACATTTTCAATTAAGACCATATTTACCTTAATACTGGGATGAGCGGAAGCTGGCATGCATGTTCTTGACTTTCTTCATGTTAATTTTCGTCTGCTGCTTCATCAGACTCTTTTTCCTCACTATTTGTTACAATGCTGTGTGTCTGTCCGTCTGGTTTTTGCCATTTTTTTTTATTAGAAATCGATCCATTTTGTGCCTGAATCTCACGCTGGCTAGCGGAGCTAACGTAACCTGGCTGCAAGCGTGCACTGCTGTCAAGTGTAAACAATGCCATAAGCGGGCTGCGTTGCAAGGTTTGACAGTGCCCACTTTGGGAAACACCATTAATGAAGGTGAAAGGAGAAGTATAATGCAGATGTTTGCCTTTTTGTAGTTCAGTGTTCACTGTATATTTATGTAGCACATTTGAAAAAATGTATTGGCTGTGTTACCATATTGTTATAAGCTACCATGCGAACCACCAATTAAAGCTTGACGAGTATCTCTGATCTATAGTATTATTAGATTAGAATGAGTCGTGCTTTAATGTAAAAGCAGATGTTAGTGTTGTAGTTGGTTGAGCTTATTTTGAACCATTTTGTATAGGACAGCAACTAATGATTATTTTCATTATTGGTACATCTGCTGATTATTTTCTCCATTAATCAATTGATTGTTTGATTTGTTGTCGTTTCACTGCAGTATAAACTGTTGGTTAACAAAACATATTTTATAAGCTCTTCATATGTTTTGTAAGTGAACATCTTAATTTGTGAAGTAACTAAAGTGTCGTAAAGTAAAAAAAGTCTAATATTTACCGATGCCATGTGGTGGAGTAGAGGTAGAAAGCGGCATGAGAAGAAAATACTCAAGTAAAGTACAAATACTTCAACTTTGTAGTTAAGTACAGGACTTTAGTACATGTACTTCACTGAACGTGGACTCTTGTGTGCTCCTTGTATCCTCTCTCTTGCTCTTGTCTGTTTACTCATAAAATTATTCTAATATTTTAATAATAATTTCTTTGATAAATTGTTTTGGTTTGTTAATTCTTCCATTTGTCCCATCAGCCTGGAGACTTCCTGAGGATCTACAACCTAAGAGCGATCCCAGGATCCAGTAAGGTGCCTGGCCTCACCAGCAGCCAGTCAGAGGAGGTGGATCACCTGGCTTTTCACCTGCATGGGGGGACGGCATACGGCAGGGGGATCCGGGTTCTTCCAGAAAACAGCCCCGACGTGCTAGAGCTCAAGAGGTACAGAAAGAGACAGGGGACAAATATACCTGAGAGAACTGAGGCTAGAAAGAAAGGAATTGTTGAAAACTGTTCAGTTTCATATTACACACCAGTGCAGTACTAGTGTAGACAAAGTCAACTGCCGTTCATAAGGTTTAAAGGTCCAGTGTGTAACATTTAGGAGTATAGGAATCATGTTTTTGTTGCCTTAGAATGAGCTGTTTATACATACAGACACCGTGGGACGCCTTCCATGGAGTCCGCCATGTTTCTACAATAGCCCAAAGCAGACCAGCTAAACATTGCCTTTAGATAGGGGCGTTCACGTTTTTTTCATGTTTCGTGGCCACCATGGTGAGGCAAGGGAGTTGCAACTTCACCACTAGATGTCACTAAATCGTACACACTGGACATTTAAAGTTTGGAGCATCTAGTTTAAAGGGAAATGTTTAGAGGACTGGAACTATAATATATATATAATCCTATTTGGTGAGTGCCTTACAGTTTTGAAATGCAGATATGTTAAGTACAATAGCATTCCAATAATTTAACTGGGATTTTTTATTGTATTTATTCAGTTGTGTGTGTGTGTGTACATGAGCACAAGTCTCGTGTTTTTCTTGTTTTTGTCTCTGTAGAGTCATTGAGGCTTTGCCGGAGGATGGCGAGCTGAATGACTCAGCAATGTTGGAAATCTGGAGCACTCCACCAGAGTCTCTGGGTAAGAATGGATGTTGGATGGGTCTCAAATTTATCGGATTTCTACTGGACCATCAGATCATATCAGAACCTGTTAGTCCACTGGATGGACTGGCATGCAACTGGCCACAGACAGTCCTGTTCCCCTCCGGATGAATCTAAATAACTTTGGTGATCCCTCAACTTTCAGCGGCATCATCACGTCAAATTTAAATGTGTCCAATACTTTGGTTTATGAGCTGCAAAAGTAACGACATTCCCATCAGACTGATTTTAGTAATAATTAGCAAATGTTAGCATGCTAAAACATTAAGCACAAAAATAGAAGCACATCTGTTCAGTCAGACGCAGATGAGACGGATGACTGAAAAAATGTAGCTGAAACACCTCTCGTGTAGACACACCATTAATTATTTTTCCCGTTAACTTCCTTTGTTGTGTCTGCTTAAAAGTGACTAAGTGAAGTCTAATTTTCATTGTGTGACTTAAATACAAAGCACAATGTGAGTGGTGGTCGCCTGCCAGCCTTTAATTAAATGAAAAACATGTTCGCCAGCAGCAGAAATATGAACATCCTGACTGCTCTGACAGACCATTTTCTTCACTGAGGAGGGGATGGATGGATGGATGGACTGAAGCTGCAGGGAGCTGCTTCCATTAGCAGAGCCTTCTAAAAGCCCACGGTTCACTGGGAATATAATAAAAAAGTCCAAACTGTGACTGTGACCTGAAGGTTTCCACAAAGACAGACAAACAGCTGCAGTTTTAAAAGAATTCTTCAGCAATAAAAAAGCTCTGTGTTCAGACCTGATGTCTGTTATAAATACATGTGGACAAAATATTTGTTTTAAAACTAACCTCGTACCCGGAGTAGAATCAGAACCGGGTCGTTTAAGAACACAGAAACAAGCAGGTGAAGAAGGAAAAAGGATAAAAAATGATACTGAATTATGACACTAATAATACTAATAAAGACACTGACATTCTTATTATACAGTATATTCTATATCTGTAAGAAAACAATTGTTTCTCTGGTCTCTCAAATTTAAAGTGGTCTAGTTTTGACAATTTTCAAATTCAATTTATGTCCTTATTTATTCCCTCTCGTTTAAAGCTTATTTTTTGCATAATTCTTGTATATTCTTTGCTTTTATTTTCCTGTTTTAAATAAAATATTTATTATAATAAACCAACTGCATTTCAGTAGAAACTAGATTCATTCATTAATCTCTAGATTGTTCTTTGCCTCTCAGTAGCAGGGAGATGATCACAGCGACTGTGATGATTATGCACAATGCTGTTTGAAGCCTTCTAATAAAATGCTTTTTAGATCAGATGATTTTTTTTTTTCTCAGCTGCCAGCTAGAGCAGCTCAGCAGAGTACAGTTTGTTTATTGGCCCGTGTTACTTATTGCTTATTGATCTGTGTATCCCTGTATCTGGTTCAGTCCTTGATGGTTTCTCTGTTTCTGATTCAGATGGTGAAACAGTGGATTGCATCACAGGTATGACACACAACACACTGCAACAGCTCAATAGGTCTGGTGTGATGTTAAACAGTCCACATTTGTAAAATATAACAAACACAGCTGTTATTTTGTCAGAAAGTGTCATTGTGTTTTTCTCAGTTTGGAATGTATTTATTATGAATGTAATATTCATAGGTATGTTTTCATTAGTGTTTAATCCAAAGCATTGTGGGTGATGATCTATTGACCCTCCGATGATATCATTGTTAGGGAACAGCCTCTGAGGTGTGATGTGTTAGAAAAGTTGTGAAATTGGACTTTAGAGACATAGTAGGAGTCCTGTTTTAAGGTTTTCTGCAATTATTTTACAAATATCTGAAATTACAGCCAAGGTCCAGTCAACTGCAGTGTTCCTTAATTGAGTTTTAGAATTCTAAAGCGCTATGTCTACAGGTAGTGTTCGATAGCTTAATGGTTATTTCCATTTCCCAGTTTTTTAAAGGATTTTTATGTAGAATTAAAAAAGTCTGATTGTGTCTGTGAAACTGTAACTATGTTTGTTGTGTTGTACCTTGACTGTGTGCGTCAGAGAGAAGCTGTGGTCACGACATACAGTCGGTGACGCTGTCCGAGCTGAAGCAGTGCGATCCGGGTCGAGTTCACCACGTCAGAGTCCAGCTGAGATCCTACGAGCCCCGCAGACTCCACCAGGCTCTGAAGCTCTACTGCAGCAAGTGTACATCTATGTAGGCTAACACACAATATTGAAATATTAATTAAGCTCTCAATGTTTCCTGTAAACTCTAACTCTGGTTTAGGGTTTTATTTTTGTCACATGCACATGCAGACTTTCTTTTGTTGTTTAGGGTTTCAAATTGGTCTTAAATTCATTTCCAGGCATACAGATGCAGACATTTGTGGCAGTGGGTATTGGATTTAAAGTTGGTCTGTCTGAATTAATATTTCGGAATATGAAAGTTAAGAAGTTAAGAACACCAAAATATGTCTCAAATATGACATATATATGAGAAATTACTCTCTAAAATGTAAATGATCTGATTCTGCGTTGTGATCTCAGACAGGACGTCCCAGATGATGAACTGGTGGCCAGTCTCTTCTCTGAGGCGTCCAAGGACCCTGGACCCTGCAGCCCCCCACCGTGGGCATTCTCTGGGTGGGTCGACATCCCCGGAGATTCCCCAGGATCCTCAAAGCGAGCTCTGAGTGTTCACCTGTCCACCCAACTCATGTCTGAGGGCAAAACCAAGGAGCTCATCTTCCTCATGGGTAACAACCAAACACACTCTTTATTAAAGAACTTAAAATTTAAACACTTTTGAGGGGATCGAGCATGTTACACCAGAATCTTTAGTCACCTGAAAGGATAAAAGCTTTATTTTTTGCTGCCATCAAAGCCAGAAATTTTACATTTTCATCCTAAAATCAGACACACGGTGACAGATATTTTGGTGTCTTGCAGGTTCGACTCTGGAGGAAACATGTCGACTAACGTCAGGCTACCAGAACATTGTCCCTGTGAGGGCGTCAGGAGGTCACATGGCTCTGCTCGACCTGTCTGCACCTTTCCTGTTCAGAGGCAGGAAGAGATACTACGGGTCAGAGATGAGCCTCGCACACAAATCCTATAATACAGTTAGAGCCTTATCAAAATCAGTTAGTTGCTCAATCTTGTTGTAAATAAGCAGCTGTGTCAGCTATTTTTCTCATTTTCTGTTCATTATGACTGTGGATGGTACACTCACTCACTGTGTGACAATTTAGTAAGATATTAGTGTTAGTTTTAGTAAGATATTAAAAAGTGTCATTACCACAGTGTTAACACTACATGGAGTAAGGCTTGTGAAGAGGGAAAGAGACAAAAGCAAACTGCTGATATAAAGTTGGAAGTAGTCTATTGTCTAAAATATCTCTGTAGACTGCAGCAGTAAGATTTCACTTCATTAAAGCGCCTAGAATAGACCAAACCAGGAAAACAGGCCCAGATCATTATTTTAATTCTCCCCCACTTAACTACACTTGGCACTTCACATTCAGGCAGGTACACAATCTCTGTAGTTTTAATGTAAAACAGAAGAAAAAGGGCTCAACTGGGGATGTTCCTGGTGACTCATTTAGCCGTCGATTAAACAGAAATTTTAACTACTAGCAAAAATGGATACTCATGTACTTTTGGTCATGCTGTGTATGCCTCTGCGTCATACCCAACTGTGCGAGGAAAGTGTGCCTGAGGAGATTTGAGCTGGTACATATGCAATGTTAATGAGAGAATATGTTTGATGATACTTTAGAGCACATCAGTGTTTTATTCACAGTAAAGGATAGACAGATAAGTGCACAGACATCCCAGAGCTGATCATGTATTCTCTTTATGATTTCCTGTGTGTGTTTTAGGTGTAGGCAGTGCTCTGAGGCTGCAGCGAGGGAACCGTGTGCTGAAGGAGTCGAGCTGATCGATGAGAAGATCATTGCAGAAGGTGAGAGCCTGGTTTGACTTTCTGGATTGTCAGAGGGAACTGTGGAGGTGGAGAAAACACACAGGAAGCAGCTTCCAGTAAAATGCCAGCTTCTTCTGCTGCCTCTGAGTGGCCAAACTAAAACTAATGCAGCTTTGACAGAGGAAACCCTGAGCCTCTGCACAACTTGATCAATAAAAAATGAATCTGCATCAATTTTAATAATCAGTTTGTCAAATTTAATCAAAAGTTTAAGAAAAAAGTCCAACCATTCTCTGTCTGCGTCCTTGAACGTACCATCAAGGAGAGTTTTAAAACTGGTGCCTGCTCTGAACTGCAGCCAAAACGACAACAATCTGACACTTACAAAAAATAAGGTTTCCTCTTCCCGCCTCCTGATTCAGCAGGTGGAAAAGCTCATCAGCTGATCTCAGGTCTGTTCTAGCTGCAGCTTTTCCTCTGACATAAATCACGCAGTGTTAACAGCTCTATTCTCATGGTCTGCAGCTCTCGGGGTTCAGCTGCTGCAGTTCGTCCTGCTGATGAAACTCGAGCTGCAGGACGGCACTGACACGCTGGAGGCCTTCCTGTGGAGAGACGCCGTAAGTTTCACATCACATTTACAGTCCTGCTTCCTCGGGATCAAAAGCTGCCGGGACTTGTAGCAAAATGATACATGAAACATTCTGAAGTTTGTGTTTGTTTTAGTACTGTAGTGGCTGTATGGAAAAAACACACAACATGATAAAACCGCCTTAAACTGTTTTTAGAAAGTGATTTTAACTCATAAGTTAATGACTTAAAATTATGCTTTGTATCTTTCACCAGGAGTCTTTCTTCAGGGTGTCTGCAGAGGACGTAGCAGCCAATCAGGAGGCTCAGAACAGCATCCGTCAAACAATGGACTCCCTCTGTCCAGCAGGGGGCAGCACTGGTACATCTTTCACTTGAATTAGAGAGCTAACTCTTTAGTCCAGCAGCAGCTTCACTACAGTCACATTATCATAGGGAAGAATAACTCACTGTGATAAAATCAATCAATAAAGGAAGAAGAAACATTGTAAGATTAATTTGAACCTGAACAGCGGCAGGTTTTGTTCACTGATGAGACACGATCAGTTAGAATGAATTGAATCTAAGTTTACTGTACGCTGCTGCTCCTCTGTCACTCAAACTACACTCCTTACCATGTTCATCATTATGAGTCACATAGAGCGTTTCTCTGTGGAAGTTCAGGTTTGTGTGAAGCTGGTCTCAGTTGTGTTTGTGTGTCTTCAGGTGAGTGTCCGTGGCTGGATTTGTGCCTGACGGTATACCGAGCAGAGGACGACGGGGGACAGAACCAAACCTGCTACCAGATCTGCCACACCACCATCACCAAAACCCCTTCCACGCAGTCCGACCCCGCCCCCGCCTGAACCACCTGCTGATCACAGGTCACCAGTAAACCTACCCTGCAAAAAGAACAACTGTTTTTGTTCACTTCCTCTGTTGTTTTTATTTGTATTTATTGTGTAAAACTAAATAAATGTACAGAAAATGTTACTGCAAAAATGTACAGGACTAGTGACTGACATGTGAGTGTATTTTTAAAACCTCTGCTGTTTCCAGTGCAGTAAACAGAGCCTTTGTATGACTTTCAAAATAAAATAAATGACTTTGACTGAGGCTGTTCGTATTGTAGCAGCTGTGTATGGGTGCAAACAGCCAGTGAACGCTCTCTGATTCAGAGAGGCTGTGATTCACAGTATTTCCCCAACATTACTGATCTTGGGTCAGTTACGCATTTTGCAAAGTTTGCACCAACTGTGATAAGAAGTAAAATATCTCAGTTTTTCCAAGTTTATGTAACCTAGATTGGTTTACTGTATAAACAGTGAACCTGAAACAAGGATGGATGGATGTGAACACAGTCTTATTTCTTCCATCGCAGTTTCTGACTTGTCTCCCCCAGGATATGTTTTAAATTCATTTTTGGGCATGTTTGCCTTCATTTGAGAGTTGATAGAATAGAGACAGACAGGAAGTGTTGGGGTGAGAGAAGGGAGTATGAGGTGCAAAAAAGGTCCTCAGCTAGACTCTAAACATCACATGTATGCGGATTAACCGTTAGGTGACCAGGACAACCTCTCCCTGAACTTAACCATATCAAACCTCCAGCAAACCTCAACCATCTTTTTATATTAACCCCAACAAAACATTTTCAACCTTATGAATAAACAGATTCACTTGTCTATAGTTACTACCACAACCATTTTTTTTTGTCTGCTGGCTGGTCTGCCCACCACTTTGGTCCAGAGTGACATGTCTGGTTCAGACATCCGCGTTCCCTTCAGGATGAGGTGTTAATAATTTGGGGTATCTTTTAACATTTAACTCCTTCCTCCGTTTGTCCAATACTTTGGTGTATGTCTAAGTTCCTGTAAAACCAATGACATGCTTCCAGGAAGTAAAACTGTAAAACCTCTCAGTCAAAAGCCAATTTAAACCTCTTTCATCTTAAATGTTGCACATTGGATTAGTGATGGTGTAATACCCAGACTTTGCACTAGATGGCACTAACAATCTGTAAATGTTGGTTCTGGCATGAACTTCCCTTTAAGTACAAGGGAACCATTTCTTTACTGGAACTTATTTTGTTTTTCTTTAACTTTTCAACAAATTCCAAAGACATTTTGGAGAATGTCTGGTGTTAAATATAAACTTTGAATAATTGAATGTTGATCTGTGTAGAGTTACTGTAAAAATATCACAAGTACACTATGAATTCCTGCAGGATTATTTAGAAATGTCTGTATTTATGTTTTTCTGTGAAACTTAGTATTCCTACAGTTATATTAGTCTATATCCAAAATTGTGGTATAACATTAATTTATGCACTACAAAACTGCAAGTCTTCAAAAGAGAATAAAGTTTTTCTTCATTTTTAAATAAATTTAAATAAGAAGTTTGTGCCTGATCATTTTCTGCTTGAGGTCTTTTACCAAGTTCAGAAAGCTTCTATCTGGAAAACTTTTACATTTTAATAAATGTTTGAGTAATAAATTGAGGACGGCTACCATCAGTGTCATTTCAGGAAAACGATAAAAACTTCTTGAAGGCAAGCTCTTTATCAAAAGTGTCCACATAAAAAAATACTGTCAGAGTGATTCACACACGGTAATCCCACACAGATTACGGCTCAGTGTGTTATTTGTACACTTGATTAGGGTTTGACAGATAACTCCCTCCTCCTCCCTCCCTACCTCCCTCCCGCCCGCCCTGCACCTCCTACTCTCGGGTCCTCTTCTCTCTGTTTCTCAGACGGAGCTTGGCGTCCCCACCGGCCATATTTCACCGCGCTCTCTCCCGGCCTCCGAGCGCTCCGGAGCGGCTGTGCGCGCAGAAACTTCATGGGACGGACGTGGACCTGCCCCGGGTGGGATTCAGCACTCTACCCCGACCCCCTCCATCAGCTGCAGAGGATCTGAACAGTCAGTTTACTTTTTCCATCTCAGTTTGAGGACATTCTTTCCCCTCTGGTTTTTTGTCTCTTTGGTGATGCCTCCAGACTGGAGCCGCTCCGGGACGCACCATAACCCGACAGGTGCTCCTCTGATACACGAGCAGAGACTTTGTGTGAGCTGTTTGCGCGCAAAGATGAAGGAAAACTGATTATTTGTGTCAGTTTAAAGTTCAGATTTCTGCTTTTTTGGACTGATTATCAGAAACCAGAGATGGATCGATCATTTTGGAAAACGCATCAGTTTGATCTGAGGGGTTAGAAAAAGCAACACGATGCTGCTTCCATTCTCGAGGTTACTGTGTGTGTGGCTCTCCAGCGAGGCCGTCGCGAGTCAGTTCCACTGGAAGAAAACAAAGACGACTTTGAGTCCTCATTATGAATCCACCGCCGCTGATAGGAATGCGCAGAGCCGGAGATGGCGCACAGTCATCGGGGAGGACAATGGGGGGACGCGCGGGGCAAATGCGCACGCCTCGTGGCTGGATACTGTAAACCCGTCATTCCCTGAGTGGCCTGGAACCCAGAAACCCCGAACCGCTGTGCGTAAAAGCGATGCGCAGAATGGAGCGCGGCGCATACCTGTACATGGAGACGAAGCTTTGCGCACGGAGGGGCCGCGGAGCGATGGATGCAGCCCGGGAGAGGTGCTTAAACAAACCCCGCATGGACTCACCTGCAGCCTCGGGAGGACTGGACACAAACGGCGGAAGAGACGGAGCGCAAAACCCAGAAGGGCGAAGCGGAGCGAGCCGCTGCAGGACGGAGCCGCGGGCGCGTGGGAAGCTCTGCCCGTGGCCATGGCACAGGAGCAAGAGGCCGGACCCCCCTTCGGACTCAACACCAGTGACTATGAGGAGGAGTACTCTCTGCCAGACTTTCCCGACACCACGCCGTTCGTGCCGGTGAACCCGCGGACCAGACGGAAGCAGGTGAAGAACCCGTTCTACCCGGTCACCGCAGAGTCCTACGGAGCCTACGCGGTCATAATCACCGCCGCCGTCATCTTCAGCGTGGGGATCATCGGGAACGTGTCGGTCATGTGCATCGTGTGTCACAACTACTACATGAGGAGCATCTCCAACTCGCTGCTGGCCAACCTCGCGCTCTGGGATTTCATCATCATCTTCTTCTGCCTGCCGCTCGTGGTGTTCCACGAGCTCACCAAGAACTGGCTGCTGGGGGAGTTCTCGTGCAGGATCATCCCCTACCTGGAGGTGAGAGGGGAGGGGTCTGGTTCTGGTTGTACGTGAGTCAGATGTCAGCTGACAGGTGTTTGTAAGGACGATCATGGGATTACGTATGACGTAATTTTGTAGGCCACTTTCCCACCTCAAATTGCCAGTGGAGTTCATGAACAGAGGTTTTGATAATGAAAACGATGATAGATGGTGACGAGAACATGCTGTGTTAAACGTTTTATTCTACACACAAATCAACACAGTTTCCATCACATACACACCAATAACATCAGTTGATCTAAACACAGACATAAATGATAGGTTACATTTTTTTTTTTTAGTCTAATCAAATCAGTCTCAAATCAAGTCTGTTTAGTACAAAACTCCCTGTCTGGACAGTGTCTCCGTGCTGAGCTGCAGTGGAGATAAAACAACGCAAAGAGGAAATGTTGTCCTCCCTACCAGCATATTTTTAGAACTGCAACAGAGGAGTGAGGGGAGCAACATCTGTAGGAGGCATTTGTGTTAATTGCTGCTGGAGGGACCGGGTGGGTAGTGTGCAACGTACAGAATCAGAGCCAACAGCCACGAGAAGCCTCTGGATGCAGCTTTATGGCGCTTTGACAGCAGCTCAACATACATAATAGAGAGTATGAGAATAGGAGACGCCACCCCCCTCTTGTTAGAGAAATGCCCCTTGTTTATCCCTCTCCATCCCCTAGTAGCAGAGAGGGTGAAGGGGAGGAGAGGTTGTTAAGCTGAATATGTTATTGAGTCTGCCTCACCCATCCATCCATTATCTGACTGAGGCTGAGCCGGTCCTGAACATCCGTGTGGCCCCTAAGCAAAGTTCTGCTAAAGGGCCCTCCTACCTGACCCGTGAGCCATGTAAGCCATTTTCCACTGCCACCCAGTCACACCTGACACCCCCGTCCTCCTAAGAATAAGTAGACCTATACAGAACAGAATGAGGCAGTATTATTGAATCTTAAAGTTAAAATCAATTTCAAACCATACGAATCAATTTCAAATTCAAAACTTCATCAACTCATGTTGATGTGAACGGGTCACATTAGGTGAATTAGGTGGACGGTGGCTACAGACTGCAGTCGGGGCTTAAATCAGGTTTAATGTCACTTAATGTGAAGGGTCTTTAATCTGATCAGTGTCACATCAGACTGCAGAAAACAACACGACACCTGCTCCACACGAGACATCCTGCTGTCCAATCAGAGTGAAGATCAGGATTAATGAAGAGTCTCTAAGACTGAGATTAGAGAAAGACGACCCCCCTCTGATCAGTCTTCATCAGAGGAAACAGGACAAGGGGTTCTGAGATTAGATCTGGATATATAGATGTTTTCTTTAATTTCATAGGTTGTATAGATCATCTTTTCCTTGGTTTGATCTCCTTAGTTGCACTGAAGGGAAATCTTAAAGCTTCCTGCACAGAGCCCTGACCTCAACCACATCCGACACCTTCAGGAGGAGTCAGACCTGATCACCCAACCTCAGCGTTGGACTTCATTAAAAGCTCTTGCAGTATGGGATCAAATCCCTGCGGCCAGGTTCAGTATCTGGTGGAAAGGCTGAAACCAGAAGAGTGGAGGCTGCTAAAGCAGCGCATTAATGCCTGTGATGTTGCAATCACATGGTCAACTGCCAGGTTCCACTGTCCACATACTTTTGGCCATTTAGTTGCAATGCATCTTGTAATGCCAGTGTTTGTGTTGGTGATGTTGATCTGAAGTTGATCTGAAGTTGACATTGTTGACATGTTTTTAATCAGCTGAATGTCTGGTGTGTAAATACTAGCAGCAGGTTCACGTGTCGAAGTGTAAAATCTTTATAATGTCGATAAACAAAAGGTTGTATTTAGATTCCACTTTAATCTTCTTAGCAGCAGCAGCCCTCCGGTTTGAGATGATGACCTACATGACATCAGTGATAATTACTGATGTCACCAACTGTCATTTTCTGTTTCATTTGTTAGGATACTGTCCTTTAATGTAGTTCCAAATTAATAAAAACCTAAACACTAAATATACTTAAGATTACACATTCATTAAAAAGCTAATTTGAAGAAGTGAAATAAAGAGCAGTTGATGAGCTCAATCCTGTTGTCTCTTCTGTTTAATGGAGCGTAATCACACAAAACAGCAAGAGGGTTAAAACGAGAAAACACACACACACACACAATCTCACACACACACACACACACACACACACACACACATACAGACACAGACACACACTGTCTGAGTTCCCGTCATATCAGAGATACTATAATTACCAGTTTTTTACTCTTTATTGTCACTCACATTAACATCCAAGTAGTAATCATGACTACAGGATTTTTCTGAAAGCTCTGATATATCTGACTCAGCGATAAATAATACAAACGTGACTGACCTCATGTTCATCGAGTCCATCATGTTAATTCATGTTAATTAAACCCATATTTACTGAATATGAGTATTTTAAACTCTCACATGATCAGCTCTACTTTAAGTGTGTTTCCACCCACCTGTTTGTATGCACATTTTCAATTAGGGGATAAAGAAACCTGCATGGAGAAGAAGCGCCAAGAACTGTTTATCTCCGGGAACCAACTCTAATATTCACAGTACAGTAGTGGATGGACGCAGATTTTCTGCAAATCTGGTTCAAATTGGTGCTGCATTTAGATGCAATATTCACTTCTCTAATGATACAAGCGTCTTGAGTCATCTGATCTTTCAGTCTCTACCAACCATCATATATGACATTAACGCAGCACTCAGGCCAGTCAAATGGCGAGCTGTGAGAATAGCTCAAGCAGAGGTAAAAAGTTGGCAGAAAAAAAAGATGACATTAGAAGTGAGTATGAGTGGATATCATGGTTACAATGATCTTTAACATACACACACTGCTGCACTGGAACAACGTCATGGGAACTGTAGTTTTTAAACGCTTCCACAGGAACCTGTTGTTAAAATCAAGAAGCATTCATATAAGGTTTCATAGACCAAAGAGAGACTGTTCTGAGTAACAGAAGATAGTGGAACAACGAACAGGAAGTGACAGGACTCTGGCAGTGTTACCCTGTGTCCCCACACCAGACACACACACACACACACACACACACACACACACAGACACATAAACACAACTGGTTTCCGTGTGTCCTTCTTACAGTGTGAAGTGTTTACAGCTGCTGAGACACAACAGAGAGGTTGTCAGGTTTCTGACATAACACAGAGCAGAAGAGTGTGTGTGTGTGTGTGTGTGTGTGTGTGTGTGTGTGTGTGCATGTGTGTGCGTGCGTGCGTGCATGTGTGTGCGTGCGTGCGTGAGTGCATGCGTGCATGCGTGCGTCTGAACTGTATGTTCCTCTTATTCTGGGTCATTCTTCCCAAAAAGTAATCAGGCCAGAAAGAGTGTGGAGAGCTTTGTAAGTGTACATTGAGAAGTGTAACCCGAGGTTCCTCTTCTCTTCCCAGGTGGCTTCTCTCGGGGTCACAACCTTCACACTGTGCGCTCTGTGCATCGACCGTTTTCGTGCTGCCACCAACGTGCAGATGTACTACGAGATGATCGAGAACTGGGCGTCCACCACGGCCAAGCTCGGCGTCATCTGGGTGGGTGCCCTGCTGCTGGCGCTGCCCGAACTGCTGATCCGGCAGCTGGTCACTGAGGATGGCGATCCGCCTGACGTGGCGCCATGCGAGCGCTGCGTAGTCCGGATCTCCACTGACCTCCCAGACACGCTGTACGTCCTGGGACTCACATACACTGGTGCACGCCACTGGTGGTACTTTGGCTGCTACTTCTGCCTGCCGACGCTGTTCACCATTTGCAGCTCACTGGTCACGGCCCGCAAGATCCGCCACGCCGAGCGGGCCTGCATCCGCGGCAGCAAGAAGCAGATCCAGCTGGAGAGCCAGATGAACTGCGCCGTGGTGGCGTTGGCCATCCTCTACGGCTTCTGTATCATTCCAGAGAATATCTGCAACATCATCAGCATGTACATGGCAGCCGGCGTTCCCAGGAGAACCCTGGACATCCTGCACCTGGTCAGCCAGCTGCTGCTCTTCTGTAAGTCTGCAGTGACGCCAGTGCTGCTGTTCTGCCTCTGCCAGCCGTTCACCAGAGCATTCCTGGACTGTTGCTGCTGCTGCTGTGACGAGTGCGGCCCGGCCCACCCCCCCCCACCACCGCCGCCGCCAGCGACATCGAGAACGAGTGCACCACCACCGAGATGGAGCTGTCGCCATTCAGCACCACGCGCAGAGAGGCGTCCACCTCCACTGCCTACGCCGTCGTGGGGACACACTGCTGAGGTCAAAGGTCATCAGTGTCAGGTGGAGTTTGTTCCGGGTCGTTCCGCTGATTGTGTTTAGGAATTTGATTGGTGGACGCGTTGACATATCAGGCTGTAAATACCTGAGTTTTTAAAGACTTGAGTGGAATTGACTCCAAAGTGTTGAACAAGTTTGTGTTTACTGAGTGAAGACGTCACTGTTTGTCCTTTCACTGTTTACAGAATTTACATATAAAAGAACACACAGCCAGTATTGGCTAGCATATATTTGTTTAGTTCTTTTTCATTAACTCACCAGTATTTTACTGAAGCTGCACTCAGTCTTACTTTTTGATCATTGTCACTGTATTTTACAGAAGCTGAGAGCCGACATGGACCCTGAACATTTCTTGAGATCACGACGCAGTCCAACAATGTAGACTGAGTCCTTATGTCAAACAAATGTGGTTTGACATCTTGAGATAAATGATAATTAAATTGGATAAAGTTTTATTTTATGTGTCTGTAATTTCATAAGTTCCTCTGGAAAAAGAACTTATTTTAGTTTATTTATAAAGCACTTGTTAAATTTACTGTAAAGAACAAACCTATATAAAACCAAAATATACATTTAATATTCTTTTATTCTCCAAATATATTGAATTTGGACAAATTTCACCTCTTTCTATGTTCAGCTGACGTGCTGCACACTCACTAAAAGACTTTCTGTGCTACGCTAGCAGTTATTTGAAATCGGGCATCTACCAATCAGACACTGTCTTATAGACATTGTTCTTTCCAGGAAACTATTAGGAAACTACAGATCCTTAAAATAAAGTGCTACCATAAGTCGTTGTGTTGGGATAACGGGCATAAAAAATGGTCGTCACCTGTGGTTTTGTACCTTTGGATGTTCCTGGTTGTTTTCTTTCCTTTCTTTGTGTGAGTCAGTGGGACGTACAGTAGTGTACTGAGAATGGCCGTTGACGCTGTGTTGTTTGATGATGATGTTGTGAATCAGTTCTGGCTGTGCGAGTGTGTTGCTCTTCACTCTGTGTTTGATAGCAGAAGACTGCACTCTGTACGGTGCATGTGTAATGACAGAGTTATTGTTTTTTTTAGCCACAAGAGAAGTGTCACTTTAATAAAGAAATATTTTAAAATAGATTTTTGAACCCTGTTTGCATTTAGTTGATTTATTTATTCGATGGCAGCCCAATGTGGTCAAGAGCAAGAAGGCAGAAACAGTATAAAATGTGAGGGTGCAGTTAGTAAATGTTTGGGGCTAATGCAATCATGTAATTCATGTCTATTCTCACAGATGCAAAGTAAATACACATCAGTTTAACTTTTTTGAATTTTGTTATTGATTTTTTTTTGGGGGGGGTTGCCTTTATTGATAGGAACAGCTGAAGAGAGACAGGAAAGGGGGAGAAATAGGAGTAACAGGCAGCCACAGGACTTGGCCTTAGTAGATGGTGTACACGCTATACCAGAGTGCCCCAACTTTTGTGATCTTTGACATGCAAATTTCAGCTGTTGATCGATTAGCAAATCTTCTCTAATGCAGGATTCACGTCATTCAGTCGCCACCGTTCTGAAACAGCTCCACTGTTTTGTCTGGCTCTGACATATAATATCCTGCTAGCACACCTTAAAGGCCACAGTGTTTATAACAGACACAATATGAAAGTGTTGGACATGACTTATCACAAGTGGAGCTAAAAATGAGTAACTGAATTTGGTAATATTAGAAAAACAAAAAAAAGAGTAAGTATGTGCAGAAGGAAACACGTTCATCCAAAAAAGAGGCAGAGTGTGTCTCTCCATCAGCGTCCATCCAGAGGACACAGCCGTCATTGTTTGTACAGTCGAGACTCAAAACAACATGTCCTCATCTACTCACAGTGACAGTCAGTCCAACAAACTGCAGAACCTTCCTCATGCATGGACAGAAGGCAGCCAGCACTCACAAGTCAATGCAAGAACATTATTTATGCAAATATTTTTTTAATTAACTTCATTTGCTCAAATGCAAAAAAATGCACTAAAACAGAAACTTTTCCTCCTCTGATTACAGTTTATTTGCTGCGTCACGCTCAGCACAAATCTCAGCTGTTTTTTCTCTCGCCATCGTTTCGTCATCATCATCGCCGCCCAGCCAGGGAGGACACAGCACGGCATTGTCCTCGCCTCCCGTTGACATGACGACGGAGGGAGTCTGCCTCTCAGCTGGCTGCCACAGTGAACAGCGCTACAGTACCACAGACAACACATCGAGCCTCATTTATTCTGAAAGAAGTTGTCAATGATGGTTTCAGGTCTGAACCAGTGCAGTCTGGCCTTTAAAGAAAACATCCTGTCCTTACTGTTGGTTTGGTAAACGAGTTAAACATCTAAATAAAACTGCAGTACCCATGTTAACAAGTGCTGACTGCAGGGATAAGCATCATTAATAAACTGTAAATTGGCAGTTAATTAAACTTTAGTTAATTGTTATTTTACTGTTAACAAACAACAAAATTACAATTAAAAATGTTTACTATACTTTCATTAGTAATGCTATAATTTATGCTATTTTATCATTCATTTGTGCAATATAATATCATTTGTTTATAAATTACGGTATATATTGTATCATAGCTGATAAGAGACAATAATGCTAGAATGGACAACCCAAACAATAACTCTAGAAGCGGTCTTGTGGGTTTTTCATGGCCACCATAGTTTCTCCTCCAGTATTCAGTTAGTTGCAATCTGCAACTTCACCTCTGGATGCCACTAAGTCCTACACACCGGCCCTTCCCATCTCTAGCACGTTAGCATGAGCGTGTTAACATGCAAATGTTTAATTTGTAATGTTTAACCTATTGTAATTTTAGTATGTTATAGTTGCCAACAATGCAATGCATTTTTGCCTGTTAGCTTGATACAAGCTAAGTTAACATTAATCTACAGCTGAGACTGACAGGGATAAAATCATTAGTTTTAGAGGTACGTATACTGTCATGAACTGAAGAAAGACAAGTTTTGACCAGATAATCAGAGGATCCCCAGGATTCATTGTCTGTGCATTGTCTGTACAAATTTTCACGGCAATCCATCTGAGATGTTTAACTCTGGACCGGGGTCCCTATAAATCCATTAGCTCACAACCAACCCGCAACAACAAATGGATTCTTGGCCTGAGAGTTGTTGACCTGCACGACTATTTGTATGTTCTGCACAGCTCCCAGCCTGAATCCCAGAGAAAATCCACATTCCTGAATGCAGGCAATGTGTGATGCTTGAACATCAACACTGCACCATCAAATATTTCTGCGATTGTATCTGCAAAGATGTGATGAGAGGTAAAATTGATTCGTTGCACGGAGGGCATTCAACCATCAGACCAGATACTTCGGTAAATGTCAAATACTTTGCCTCAGCTAAACGCCACTTGGTGGCATGTATTTTGAGTAGCAAGGGTGCAATTTTAGTTTTCTTAGTATTAATTTCCTTTGAATAATTACATAACATTTGTGTCTAATTGTACTCATCGCAGAATCACCAAGAGGAGACTCTTTGTATGTTAACCACATTCTTCTCTAATCACCCGTTTGGCTTTGATTTGCTCTCTGGCACCAAACTTGCGTGTTTGGGTCTTTTGTAAATGAGGCTGGCAGCCCCAGTCGCTGCTCCAATAATTAGACATCCCCATTCATTCAGAAACAATGGGGCAACGGGTACACTGAGGCTCCGCTGCTGAACAGGCTGCTCACTGACCTTCTCCCAACTGCTCCCAGGACTGTTTCCTGGAATGAAACGGATGTCCTGGGTGGGCTGGGTTCGCTGCCCCTGATTGGCGGACAGCAGCCAGGCTTCCACAACAACCAGATCAGATGTCCTGGATGGTGCAGATTTAGGTAACCTTTTTTCTGCTGGGATGTCTACACATCAAAACAGCCATACAACAATCCTTATATTGCTAATTAGACATTGAGAGACACATTTTGAACAATACACCAGTTGGCAACAGCTGTCTAACTAAACCACTGTACGAACAGTGGTTTATTAGGTTTATTAGGTTTATTTGGTACACTGAGCTAAAACTAATGCGTTCTAATACAACAGCCCTGCAATTAATTCTCCCTGAAGGAATTCATATTTAGTTTTTGTTGAAACTGTTTTAGAGAGGTGTTGAGAGGTTTTTATTAATTTGCCCACCTAATTTATATGTCTGAGGGTAGATTAAATAACCGGTATGTATAATGCAAAACAGTTCATGTTGATGTTTAGTAACATAATATTAATTAAATCCAGCATAGTTTTATTATTTCTATTTTTCAACACAATATCCCATCTTGCAATATAATATTTGCAGGTGGTCAATTATGCATTGTTAAACTTTTTATGGTTATATCTAACCACATACTCACTCATCAACCCTGCTGCAGATAAATATGCAGTCAGAAATTTGCTCATCATTCATTATGGAAGTCTGACCAAAAGTTGTATGATCTAGATATCTTCACATCACCATCCTTACTTCCTGTTGTTCTCAGACTAAAAAGATAAAAAAAAAATAATAATAATAATAAATTTGACTGCGCAACTACTTCTTCCCTCTCCTCTGCAGTGTGACAGTGTTGCGAGCCAGCTCCGACTCTGCAGCAGCCTTTTGTGCCTCTGGGTGAAGAGCCTTAATGGAGGCCGACTACAGCTGCTGTCAGAGAGCTGCAGGGATCTGATTCACTCTAAAAAGACCCTCCAGGCGTCTGCTACAGCTCCCTCCATAAACTCTTCACATCCAATCAGTTTTTTCACATAACAAACTGAAACTCTGCAGACTCAAGTGTCACTTCCACACAGTCTGCTGCTGATTCTCACAGCCAGAAAAGACAAAGAAGAGAAACCTCCAGGCTGGAGACACGTACTTTCAGGATTTATGATCAAACTGAAATGTTGTGTTCGTAGAACTGTTCTTGAATGGTTATGAAGCCGCAGAAAAATTAAGTAGTCAGCAGAAACAGTGAAAATGTGAAACACAAACAGGAATCAAACCACAAGGGTAGCACTTACAGGGCTGTATAAAAACTGCTGAGTGGCATTAAGACTAATACGATCCACTCCTACTGAAGTGTTTTTAATGGTGATTTATTGATTTAAAGTTAAAGTGTTTAACATTTAGGAGGATCTATTATCAGAAATTGAATATAATATTACTGTCAAACGATTAAAATATTCAGTCGCGATTAATCGCATTAATGTCATGCTTAACTCGCAATTTATCGCAATTAATCGCACATTTTTATCTATTCTAAATGTCCCTTGATTTCTTTTTGTCCCATTATTTTTTCTCATTTTAATGCTCTTATCAACATGGAAAAGTGGGTCGGCTTGTTTGGTGCAAATGTTGTTTTTATTGAAAACAACATAGGCATATACTGTAGTGTTCAATTTCACACTAACATTCTCACTTGGAGCAAATAATCTCTCACACAATGTAACACTGTACATCAATAGTCAGTCAGGTCAGTCAGGCTACTGCTCTTTATTCACCAGAGGCTCAACCCAGCCTCTTATTTCAGAAAGAATGAACAGTAACGGTTACCAATAAAAGGTAAGCTACTACTTCCTTGCTTTGAGCCACTTAAACAAACAGACAAGCCTGTTGACATTTTCAGACAACAAGGAATCCATCCATTTCGGCGTCTCGCGCTCGCCATCCACTCAAAACGTTACGTCTACCAGTGTTTCCTCTAGGATTTTCTTTAGCAGTGGGGGCAGGCCCGTCCGAAGAAAGCGAACGTTTTGACAATAAGCTACATCAACACAACAGTATGTGGAGTTAGCATTATGTCGGCAGGATCATTTAAAAGGCAACCGTGAGTACATTGTTCGTCTGCCCCATTTCTGATACCGTGGCGGCAGAAATTTAACAGCGGTGGGCCGCCACTCCAAAATCAACACAGAGGAAACACTGTCTACTACTCTTAAACAAGTGTGTTTAAGTGTGTGTGCCTGTTGTTTTTTTTCCGGTCTAGCTTGATCCAGTATGGTGTTGTAGTTTTTCTAACGTTACTAGTTGTTGCAACAGCATATGAAAAAAACTACAAAGTGTGCTAGGCGTGAATCTTGCGATAAAAAAAATTGACGCTGTTAAAATGGGTTTGCGTTAACGCCGTTAATAACGCATTTAACTGACAGCACTATATAATATTCATTGGTACATTTTCATTAGTGTATTAACACCTGAAAAAAAAATTTTGTTGGGTTTTTGTCACCAGAATGAGAGGTTTTAATCTACAGATGGAGCAGGTCACCTTCCATTGAGTCCGCCATATTGAACCGCCATGTTGGACAAACCAAAAACTACCTCTAGATGAGGCCATTCACTACTAAATACCCATATACGGAGGTTTTCAGCTGAAACAAGTGGTTTAGAGGTTTAGATACCCTTTAACCCCCTTGAAGAAGATCAGAGTGAAGGGTTAAAGATAATTATGTGGAGAAATGTGAATGGGGAAAGGATCTGAGAGCCTGTCCACCCAATTATCACAATGAAAGAGCCTTTTGACAAACAGTTTGAGTCAGCATCCATAATGTATCTGCTCTGACAGAAAACAGAAGCTGGGATCGTTTGGCAGATCGCAGCCCGGCTGTTGTTGCTGGGAGCATATTTCTAATTGTGTTTCCCCTGACAGTACTGGGTGAAATATGGGGAGGTGGGCAAAGGGAGGGGGTGAATTCCCTCAGTGAAGAATCAGTTTGGGCAGCGGGGCGTTCAGTCACAGCCGGTGACCTAGAAATGTTGCTGCAATCCCCAACAAAGGAGAAGAACCAGGACAATAAAGCTCTTATTCCCTGCGGACGACAGCTTCCATCTGACAGAGCAGATTATACAGGCAGGAGGAGGACCAGGCTGAGCCAAGCTGGGCCGGGCTGGACCAGGCTGCCAGAGCACTGAGGGCGACAGCTCCACCAGGAAGAGGCTGTGGGTCAGCAAGCAATCAGCTGTTGGGTTGTGTTCAGGATGGCAATACTGCTCAGTCCCTCTGTGAGGATTTTGGTGACCCCCTCCTGTCCTCTTGCGGGCCACCATCAGCCCATAATCTCTATGTCAGCAACACTTTGGCTTAAGGTATCTGGAAAGCTAATGGCTGGATTTCTATAACATTTGAATCCTCTTGGTGTTTTGATAACACCCTGACCTTTCCTCTAATGCCACCATTATAGGTTTCTCCTCTCCTGCACTGGGTTAATACCACTAACTAGTTTCAAACCAGCATTAAAACTTACAGTCCCCCTACACTCAAAAATCAGTTTTTCTTCTTGTTCCTACAGTTGGGTGTTTGAGCTTCACTCTGCAGAATGATGTATGAGCAGAGTTTGAAAGATATTTTCACATGCATCTAATGAAAGTGGAATGTTTCTCTGTGTTCATTGAAAATCTGATCTGATCTGATCATCTAGTGGTGAAGTTGCAGATTGCAACTAACTGAACACCACTTGTGTCTGTATTTGACCATCTAGGCATGAGAACGAGCTGTGAAGTGTGTAGCTAAAACTATGATGGCCGTGAAACTCGTGAAATACGTGACAGACATTCAAGGAAAATCTTATGGCAGGGACAGACATTACGGCTGTTCAGCCAGTAATGAATATGATTGAATTGGGAAGTTAGACCAAGTCAGCCAGCATTTGAATTTTTTTCCTTTGTTTTAATGAAACATCATTAATATTACAGTTCAATACTTTTACATTGTTGCCTGTCCCCTGCCCTAAAAGCTAAAGTCAGGGAACAAGTCTCGTGTATGATAATGAATAGTTTTAGCTTTGTTTTGCAGTATGTGCATGTATGTATATATCGCTGTATACCTGTATATGCACCAGTACACCTCTCCTACCACAACTATGATTCACACATTTTTGGGACAGTCAAAAAGCTGCTTGTGCAACACAACAGCTCTTCAGAAGGCCACACTGATGTTTTCAGCTACAGGACGAAACCAGGAAGAGATCCCAGACATGAAATATTCCTACAGCACACAACAGGCCGGCTGTTTATCAGAGCAGCTCCGTCACTCAGCAACTGGATTCTTCTGAAAGACCAGCTGATGCTGACAAGTCCTGAATATGGATGAGAGGACGTGAAATGATGTGTTGTGACATACAATCTCACTGTGCTTTGGAATTCAGTCATTCACACAACTAAACAACGAGTGTGTGTTTCAGTACTGAGCTCTGCACATTCTAGACACTACAGAATGTGTTTATGTTTTACAATGAACTCTGTATTTACTGCTATGAAATTTTACTTAGTGCTGGTAGGCGGATTTTTCTTCCTCTGGACAGAGCCAGGCTAGTTGTTCCCCCTGTTTCCAGTCTTTATGCTAAAATAAGCTAACCAGCTGCTCGCTGTAGCCTTGTATTTACTGCACATATGAGAGTGATATCAATCTGCCAATTAAACTCTTGGAACGAAAGCTAATTTGTGTATTGTATTGTATGTAAGTATTCCTTTAAGATTTCAGCAGGTCAGAAATTCTTCTAGAAATAAGCAACTTTCATAAACTCAGTACAGATAAGCAAACTCAAATAACTGTCTCTAACGTTTGTTTCTCCTGTATTGTACATTACACCGTTCTGTCCAGGAAACCTCTTGAACATTATAAACTGAATTACTGCGACCTGTAAAATAAAGCGTTACGTGTTCTGGTGCATAATGAGCATCACTATCTCTGGGCCTGTACACTTTTACCTACTACCTAATACTAATACAATATCGTGTTTCGTGGAGCTGACGTATTTGGCAGTTCTTTAAAAACTGAGCTGTGAAATTAGAATAATCTGAGTTGCTGTGTTGGTGCAGAGCTCAGAGTGAAGGAGCTGTGTGTCTCTCAGATCTTTGTTGTGTGAAATCAGGAACCAGTAGAGATGTGTCGATCACAGCCGGTCACTGGAGGAGGAAAATGTTTCTGACAGCAGAACTTAAAACAGAAGAAAATCCTGCTGCCTGGAGGACAGACAGCCGAGTGTGAATACAGAAACACAAACACAGTCAGTACAATCAGTGACACACAGAATTGCACAATACGCAGAAACACAGCATCATTCTGCTCCAAATTTACTCTGTAGATTCATATTTGCATTTTTCTGCCATTTTTCTTTCATTTTAACTTCCTAAATGGACCTTTAAAGAATTATTGCAAATGATCTGAAATAAAACAAACTGACAACAACCTCCATATCTACTGTTTGGAGCCACTTTGAAGAAATGTGGTCTCTTTAAAATGATTTTTAAAAAAAGACTCAATTCACCACAAAACATGAAGTATCCATATTACTTCTCATTGTTTAAACTAGTCAGCAGAGCAGGGTTGGTGTACTATTTCTATGCACCCTGTGAAGAAGTTGGGCCTCCAAGACAAAACACAGAGCAAAAAGTCCTTCAGAGGGATTATTCATTCATTCCAAGTGAAACTTTACCACCACAGCATGTTATCAGAGTTTATGTGGCTGTGTTGATTTGTGCTTTTAATAGGTTATGTGTCTATGGTTCAGAGACTGAAGTGTGGAGAGACAGAGCTCTGACTCCCCCTGCAGGACAACAGTCTGAAGTGCAGCTCAGACTGTTCCTCCTGGAGAAGAACTGAACTACCAGAGCATCTGCAGGTCTGAAAAAGTCTTAACAAGCACAGAATGTAGGTTCCTCAAAACAAGACCTATGGTAAATGGTAAAATTCAAATAGTAGCCTAGTGTAAAGTGTTGTAAAGGATGGGGTGGATGGTTTATGGATCCTGCCTTCTGTTAGGGTCTGACCACATCACAAGCAATGTCATCCCTGGTTAACAACGAACGGTTTCCCCTCAGTGTCTCTGTGCTCATACACTTTTTTGACACCAAATGGAAAAAACAATCCTCATCCAGATAGAGAAATTGAGAGTGAGTATACAACTGTGGAGTTACAGTCCCGGACCACAGCAGCGCGGACTGCAGTCACATTATCCAAGATGACAACACACCTAGACTGCTCTGATCCATCCAGGTCCTCTTCTTTATCCTCCTCTTCCTCCTCCTCCTCCTCCTCTTCCTCTCTCCTCTCTCTCTCTCTCTCTCTCTATATGCTGGAGGTGAGCACACAGGTGCATTTGCAGTGCTAAGGCTCGGACTGATTGGTGTTTGATTAGTGTATGATGTATATGTCTAATGCTTTATTGTGTATGTGGGTGTCTAAATGTGAGAAACAGTGTGTGACAGAAACAGTGTGTAAGCTGAAAATGTGTAAAGAAAAAACGAATAGTTAATAATAGTTTCACTGTCAACAGTTCGTTTGATACCCTTCTTTTTAAAGATATTACCACATAATCTGACGAAAATATGAAAGAATAACACTATATAATTAAGCTAAATGTATAATTAATTAACCGGAGTTCTGTTCATAGTTCAATAAGTTAATTTATGTGGAGAAATCCATAGGGTTTATATTATTATGATATTATTATAGGGTTAGTGTAATATAAAGTACCGTTTTTAAAGTAGTGGGAAGTTCATTGAAACCATATGCATCCCAGCAGCTCTGATAAAGCGGAAGTGACTCAAAAATAGAGTCCTAATAAGACACTTTTCTGTGTCACAGATGTCGGGGGTAAACTGACTGTACACATCCAACCAGTGTTTCCTCATTTGTGAATTTTCACTGCCAATAAATATTCTGTCTTAAGAAACCAGAAGTTGTGGTTTTATATATATGACCGATCTTGTGATATTCAGAGCCAGAAAGACTCATCATCCAGACAACATGAAGGCTCCGTCTGTCCCTCTGCTCCTCGGTGAGTCAAACACACACCTTTTACACAGCTGAGATGACATGATGGTAGTGAGCGTAATTAGTCGGTAACCAGTAACAAGTGATGTCAGGACAGTGAAAAGTAAGTAGTCACTGTGCTGTAATAAGTCAGTGAATAGTAACTTGGCAATTTCATTGATAACAGTAACTAATCAATAAAGAAACTTGTCACTGATCAGTATAACTGGTTGCTGTAAACTGTATTTGAACGTTAACTGTAACAGTAACTAGTCAGTGTTGTGGGCTACAAGATGGCGGTGAAAAGTAAGTAGTCAATGAACTGCAGTAACTACTCAGGGGTGTGACAGTGTGATTTCTTTCTCCTGCATGCTGGTGAAAGCAGCAGGAAGTCCACACTTTCCTTCCTCCATTGCTTCATTTTTCATTTGGTTCCCCTTTCTCTCCTGATATATGTGCCACTGACATTTCTCCAGTTTTATAAACTTGCACAGTGATGACAGCCGCAGACTGAAAGGTGTGGTCTGATCTCAGACCCATTATCTCCTACATTGTCCTTTAACCTTCTGTAACCCTGCTGACCCCTGACCTTTATTAACCCTGTCCTCCCGTTGCAGGCCTGGCTGTGCTGCCGTTTGGATGGACTGTTTCTGCAGGTGAACTGATGACACTCACACACATAATAATAATGAAATCTTTTTTCTATTGACACCAGAAAAAGGACATTAAATCACACACACCACCAAAAATATCAACGATTAACTCTGTCTGTCTGTCTGTCTGTCTGTCTGTCTGTCTGTCTTTCAGTCTTTCTGAATGTCAGTCCAAAACAAAAGCTGTTCTTTAGAAGAGAATCTGTCTCTCTGAGTTGTGTTGAGGATGGGCAGACAGTGGATGGATGGAAGGTGAAGAGGACAGCAGAAGGACAGACACAGACATGTGATGGAGGTCCACAGGCCTTTTGGAGTACTGATGGTTCCTCCTGTAATGTTCAGTATCTCTCACCATCTGACAGCGGAGTTTACTGGTGTGAAAGCAGTGCAGGACAGAGAAGCGTCCAGGTCAACATCAACGTATCTGGTACAATCTTATGTGACTGATCAATAATATTTATTAAATCCTGTATTGTATAATGTTTTATGTGAAGCTTCCCCTGCTATAGGTCTAGTGTCTGGCGTATGATTTGGAAACAGCATGATTTTCATACATGGTGACATTATTAATAGAAAGAGGGAGGTTCTGCGCTCCTAACTTCAGCAAGGCCAAGTTCCTCCTAGTGGCACAGGCAGGTAGTGGCACGTGTTACCATAGAAGGGGGCATTTTCTGCGATAATTGAGCCAGGAACAGAATGAGGAATCACTTCTGAGGAACAAATTATAATTATACAAAGTCATGAGGACTTCAAAAATATTCAATATAATATTCAAAAGTATAACTTTCTGGTCTAATATGACTAACTCTGTTTGTATATGGCTCTGGTCTGTGTTTTCTCATTCAGATCATTCCGTGATCCTGGAGTTTCCCAAACTTCCTGTGATTGTAGGAAGTAATGTCACTCTGCGCTGTAGAACCAGAGATGTGTCCACAATGTTTTTCTTCAGGAATCGGACCTTCGTTGGAACTGGTCTCACAGGAGAGTTTACCATCAGGGATGTCCAGCGATCACATGAAGGTTTCTACTCGTGTTCTACTGGTCTGTTGTCACGATCATCGAAGGGCTGGCTGAGTGTCAAAGGTCAGGATAATATCATTCACTTTCTGTTTATGACAGCTGTTTATTACGGCTGTGGGTGAAGATATAAGATCAAGTCTGTAAGGTTAATAGGTTAAACTGTAAGGTTAGTAAGTCCGTTTGTAAAGTTAATAGGTTAGTCTGTAGGTTTTGTGCTCCAAGGATCAGTTTGGATTTTTAAAGTCTTATTACAATCCTTACATGTCCATATGTACACATAAAGAGTTGTTGCCATCTATAACTGTCCATTCTAGCCTTGAAGTGATGCCTTCCAAATTATTTTTTGTTGTTTTGTTTTTTTTGCTGGCTTTTATGGCATGTTTTAATCTAGAGTGACAGGAAAAGGGGAAAATAGAGAGAGGCTGACACGCAGCATTTCTTCTTGTTGTGCAAGCATAGCTACAGTTGAAACCAGAAGTTTACATACACTGTATAAAAAGACACATACGTTTTTTTTTCTCACTGTCTGACATGAAATCAGACAATCACTTTTCCTGTTTTAGGTCCATTAGGATTACCAAAATTATTTATATTCGCTAAATGCCAGAATAATGAGAGAGAGAATTTTTTAGACAATGTTTTTATTACTTTCTTCAAAGTCAGAAGTTTACATGCACTAAGATTAATATGCCTTTAAACAATTTGGGAAAGCCCAGATGATGATGTCATGTCTTTGGAAGCTTCTTGACAACATTTGAGTTAATTAGAGACACACCTGTGGATGTATTTTAAGGCACACCTGAAACACACTGTTTCTTTGTGTAACATCATGGGAAAGTCAAAAGAAATCAGCCAAGATATCAGGAAGAGAATTGTGGACTTGCACAAGTGTGGTTCATCCTTGGATGCAATTTCCAGATGCCTGAAGGTGCCACGTTCATCTGTTCAAACAATTATACGCAAGTATAAACACCATGGGAATGTCCAGCCATCATACCGCTCAGGAAGGAGACGGGTTCTGTGTCCCAGAGTTGAACGTGCTTTGGTCCGAAATGTGCATATCAACCCAAGAACAAAAGTAAAAGACCTTGTGAAGATGCTGGCTGAAGAAGTAAGAGTGTGTCGTTATCCACCGGGAAAAGAGTACTGTACCGACATGGGCTGAAAGGCCACTCTGCCAGGAAGAAGCCATTACTCCAAAAGAAACATAAAAAAGCCAGATTACAGTTTGCAAATGCACACAGGGACAAAGACCTTAATTTTTGGAGACATGTCCTGTGGTCTGACGAAACTAAAATCAAACTGTTTGGCCATAATGACCATCGTTACGTTTGGAGGAAAAAGGGGGAAGCTTGCAAGCCTGAGAACACCATCTCAACTGTGAAATACAGGGGTGGCAGCATCATGTTGTGGGGTTGTTTTGCTGCAGGAGGGACTGGTGCACTTCACGAAATAGATGGCATCATGAGGAAAGAACATTATGTGGAAATACTGAAGCAACATCTCAAGACATCAGCCAGGAATGTCTTGGGTGCAAATGGGTCTTCCAAATGGACAATGACCCGAAGCATACTGCCAAACTGGTTACAAAGTGGCTTAAGGACAACAAAGTCAATGTTTTGGAGTGGCCATCACAAAGTGCTGATCTCAATCCTATTGAACATTTATGGGCAGAGCTGAAATGGCATGTGCGAGCAAGGCGGCCTACAAACTTGGCTCAGTCACACCAGTTCTGTCAGGAGGAATGGGCCAAAATTCCTGCTAAAATATTGTGAGAAGCTTGTGGAAGGATATCCAAAACATTTGACCCAAGTCATACAGTTTAAAGGCAATGGTACCAAATACTAATGAAATGCATGTAAACTTCTGACTTTCAAGAAAGTAATAAAAACATTGTCTAAAGAATTCTCTCATTCTGGCTTTTAGCAAATAGAAATAATTTTGGTAATCCTAATTGACCTAAAGAAGAAAAAGTTTAATCTGATTTAATGTCAGACAGAGAGGGGGAAAAAAGTGTCTTTTTATACAGTGTATGTAAACTTCTGGTTTCAACTGTGCGTGTCTGCACCTCATTTAGATGCTTTGCGGCTGTACTGTTTGATTTCTGAACCCCACGCCATCGTGTATGTGTGTGTATGTATGTATATGTATATATATATATGTATATATATGTATATATATATATAAATATAATATAATATAATAAATATATATATATAGATATATATATAGATATATAGATATATATAGATATATATATAGATATATGTATAGTTATATATAGATATATATATATATATATAGATATAGTAACCTACGTCCACATAAAGCCAGTAAAATGTATATACATATTTTCCTTTCTGTATCAACCCTGTCTTCACTGGGCTGTTGTTTTTCTCAGCCCAAAATATTTTTCAAAACTATAAAACACCTGTGATCACTTAAAAGTCAATTTAACCGATCACACTGTAAAGGTGCTGTGTTTATTTTGTCGGAAAATGTCATCAAGTGTGAAATCACCATAGGCGACGTGATGTCACATCTCTATGACAAATGGAAATTTGCCTCCCCCACCCCCAATATTTCCTTCCTGTATGCACGTTCATTACTCTCAGGTTGACCACAGAGGTAAAACACATGTTAACTATATCCCAGTATATATATCCGTGTTTTGCTGCTGTTGTTGAACACATCTGGTCGGGTGTTTTTCACAGGCTGGAGGAGGATCCACTTTTTTGTTTGTTAGTTGCCTTTTGAAAACTGGGTCTGTAGATGTCACTTGTGCTGTTGGTCGAAACACACACGACTGTAGGTGGTAGTTCTGTATCACAGATCATATGGTAGTTCTGGATAGCTGAGTGTGTCTGTAGCACATGGTCCTTCTCACCCTGTGTCCTGTATATGTTTGTGTTTTACTGAACATTGCTGGTTAATACTGAATTTGAAAATACAGAGAGTACTCATATACAGCTCATATACAGACTGTGTGCACATTTGGATACAAATAAGAGCTACTACAGACACATATCATGAACACTGCCCATTAGCCATTTGTGCTTAATTATTAATAATTATTTGATTAGCACTGCTGGAAGCAGCTTGGGAATGACTGTTGGTTAACATTTAACATCCAATATACTGGACTCTGATTTCTTTTTAGATCCAGAACCAGATTCTTCTACTCCTCCTCCTCCTCCTCCTCCTCCTCCTCCTCCTCTTCACTCTCTGCCTGTATTCAGGCTGCTCTGCCATCTAGTGGTCGTGTGTCCGTATTTCATTTCCACCGTCCTGATGGTGTCTATCTACTGTAGCAAGAGGACAGGTACACACACACACACACACACACACACACACACACACACACACACACACACACACACACAGGGTGTTTTCAAATACATTAACTCACTTAAGTGCGCCCCCTTATGACTAAATTTGTAATTGTCCTGTACTAAGGACTTGGTAGAACTGAATACAACCACAAAGAAATGTTCAATTCCCTAACTCCATCCATGCCTTCTAACTCTGCCAACAGGACACAAACCAGCTGTCTCTGTGGAGATGGAACGTTTTGTTGAAGGTGGTCAAGGACTGGCTGAAGAGGGTGATTACGTCACTGCTACCACTGAGCATAATTTCTGAGGGTGCATATGCTGTATATGATCATTGTTTTGTATCACACACTTAAACCACATAAGCTGCTGAAGTGTGAACAGACTCATGCTTGGCTCTTTGCTGTCAGTCCTTCACATCTCTCTGCTGTGCGTCTAATGTTAACGTCAGTGTGCTCTCAGGTTCACAGTGAGAATGCTGATGAAATGCTGATGTTAAGTAGGTATACAGGTTACCCTTTTCAGCATCTTAGTATAGTGTGTTAGCATGCTAGCATTTGCTGATTAACTTAACTTGAACAGTCAGAAGATCGGCAGAGTTATTACAATTCATCCTGAGGGGGACATCAGATTTCATGGCATTCGATCCAGTAATAGTAGTCTGGACTTACAAGACTTTTCAACCCTAACCAAAAATATCAATATTGTGGTCAGATCTCCAAAGTCATTAGGATTCATTTTCTGGGGATTATGAATCTCTGTACCAAACTTTTGAAAGCTCTGGAACAAGTTAGTTAGTGGTCCTTGAATTGGGATTGTTTGGTTGAAAAACTGTATGTAGTTTAATAAATTGCAAAAGTGTTTGACACAAATTTGAAAATGTTGTTTTTCTTATGGTTTATTAAGGGGTGCCATACCAAAATCTTATATGAAGACCTTAATAATAATAATAACAATGATGATAATGATGATAATAATAATAGTAATATATTTTAAACCTTATTTTAGTGTTGTGCTCACATGCATATTCTGAAACAAATGTGAATAAAACTGTGAATGAGAGATATGACTAAAATTAATTCATAATATCTTTAATAAAAACACAGGTTAAAACATTCAGAAATAACACGAAAAAAATAAGAATTAAGGAATTGTCCTTTAACTGCCTGCAACCACATGCTCTGTACCACAGGTATCAGTTTTGTGTCATTCATTTATATTCACATCACAGCAGCCTTCAGACACAGTAGCATTATCACAGCCAGGAGGGAGCGGGGCCTGTCAGCAGCTCGACCCCTTGTGGTGATAAAAGCCTCATTGATGACGTTGACCGTTAGGACCGATCTGCACGGCTCCTCGCTGTAGCACATACAGTCGAAGTTGCGGTCAAACCAGTTGATGTCATCCTGCGATAGGCCACCACTCACAGTCAGCGGGCCACCGCGGCGCTGCTGCTGGATCCGGTAACGCATGGGGTCGAGGTGGAGGTAGACGTCTTCCTCCCAGTGCTTCCTCACACAGCGACCTCGGCGCTGACATAGTGCCTCGCTGCACAGTTGTGTTGCTGTGGAGACATTCAGGATGTATGGGTTCATGACCTGCTCCAGGTGATGTCGAGCATCAAAGCAGGAGTCCTACAGGATTTTGGGACAGTTAAGTCGGTTAGTGGTTGTGTAGAAAAGTTGCAAACGAATTAACAAAGTTAAAAACCTTCCAAGAAAACCCCAGAATGATGTCACTTTCTACCTCCGTGTCGGTGACGTTCATGTCTCCCCAGGAAACTACGCCGGCGGCACCAAGAGCAGCAGCTTCTCCGATGGTGTTCACCAGATCAAACTGCAAAAAAAACAAAATAAACAGACAGAGCGACATCAGAGAAGAGCAGGAAATGGCCTTCCACACAGCTGTGTTGACTGAAAAACTAAAGAACTCCTCATTGAAGTTCAATAGTAAAATAAGATTGTATTTGAACAAAAGAAACTCAAGGGCACAAGTAAAAATCCCCACTTTTTAAACAATAATGGCAATTTAAGATCATCAAGGTCCAGTGCGTAGGATTGAGTGGCATCTAGCGGCATAGTTGGAGATTGCAACATGAAGAGCCCTATCTAGAGCCAGTGGTTTGGTTTGTTCGTTCTGGGCTACTGTAGAAACATGGCAGTTCAACATTGCAGACTTTGATATAAAAGGCTCACTTACTCGAAGGTAACATAATGATTCTTATTTTCAGATGATTATACACTAATGAAAACACCATTTATGCCAACTGATCTTCCTAAATGTTACACACTGGACGTGTATTCCTCCTGTCCTCTCAGATTCATGGGAACCTAACTAACAGACTACATTAAGACAGCTTTATTTATCATTAGATTAACAAGCGCACTGTGGTCTAACAACAACTGCGGACCAAGCAGATGGAAATATCCCTTTCTACTTTTTCTGCTTTGTACTTGAGGTAATGTCAACTCAAGCAAGCAGTCACCTTCACTGACTGTACTATGCTGTCTGTGTGTGTTAGGAGCTGAGCCCTGCCCTCTGTCTTGCAGCAGAGGGCATTGAAGCTAGTGCCACCATAAATGACCCTGCGCTCTGTATATCACATTATGGCCATTATGATTAATGACCCCCTCCGCACTTGGTGCCCTATGCACAGCGCGTGATGTGTGTGTGTACGTAGTGGCAGAGCTGGCTCCACATGTTTGTGGTCACTTAAGACATGTTAGTTTCTCTAGTCAGATAACAGATAACCGAGACTAAAGCACCAGTACTGTTGCTCCACCTCGTATCAGACACATGCCATCCAATCAGATTAGTATTTCAAATTTATACATGCATAGTATATAACAAAGGCGACAAAAAGGATCGTGTTGAACAATCTCTGGTGTGTCTGACCTCTGACATGTAGTCGTCGATGCTGTCCTTGTACACCGGGCGGATGTAGGCGTAGATTGGGATAGAGTAGGAGCTGTTGGGGAGCATTGACACCCTGATGGCCTCCTGGATGCGATGCCGGACGAACAGCCGTGCCTGATGGGAGTCTCTGAGCACCAGCTCCAGGTAAATGGATGGAAAGAGCGCTGTGGACTCTGTCCAGAGCCACAGGAGTTCATTGTTCCTGTCGTTCTCAATGGCAGGACACTCTCCGGTATAGCCAGCCATGTCCTGGTTGTAGTCGTAGTTGTAGCAGTCAGGGTACAGGTAGTAACCCCAGAGTCTGTTGGGCCTCAGCTTCTTCCCAGTGCGGATGGATCGGAGGAAATACCTCTTGGCTGCACGTTCGAACACGATCTTTGCCCTGTCCTCTGCCTCGTCATCAGACAATGACACATTCCTCTTCTTGACCGTTTCAATAGAAATCTGTCGATAGATGTCTTTGCTTCCCCAATTTCGAACCCACTGCGGCCTCCACTCCTCAAAGTCAAGCACAGCAAGGCCCGGTTGGTCGTCAGGGATGTAGTACTCAATATCTTGCTTAGCCAGGTCATGGTGTTCTTGCAGGTCTATCAGCTGTGGCAGGCCCTCATCATACATCTCGCCAGTGTCTTCGTCCACGTAGGGAAAGATACCAAAGCGGTCAGTGTAGAATATGGAGATGCTCTGGTCGGTTGCTGTCTTCAGAGTGCTGCTGACAAAGTGGAAGTAGGAGAGGTCAAGTGGCATGCCAAAGCGGATATCGCACAGCTCGGTCGGGGCATTCCACATGAACAGGAAGGGGTGGCCAGGATGGATGGGAGGTGCTGTCCTCGGTAAGGCCTGGAGAGAGCACGGCAGGGCCAACATTGTGATGAAGATGGAGAAGAAATGATGTTTGTCATCGATCTGTTTGACTTGGTTCATTTTGAAATGGTTATCTGAGGAAATAGAAACATATGTAAGAAAAATTAGAAGAGTTCTTGATGTCTTCTCATCTTCTCAGCTGTGCAGGGTTGTAGCATTAGCGTTCAGGCTAATAATGTAGAGAGGACAATGACCTCACACGTGTTATGCAGCTTACCTTATTCAACAACAAGAAACAGAACAATAAACTGGTAGAGTCTCTGTTCAAAGTCGCAGCAAATAAGGACAGCAGCAGGTTTAGATGTATTTTTACAAATGTAAATTTAAATGTTGCATTTTGGCATCACTGTGGCAACAACTGTGCATGTATATGCAGCAACTGATTGCTCCTCCAAACTTTCTACATATTTGTTTTAATATGTATTTTTTGTTTTTTTGATCAACCCAGCCAGACTGACCGGACCAGCCCACCACAAAAAGAAGAAAGGGAAGAGAGTCGAATGGGAGCCATACTGGCCTAGCTTTTACTTAAGGCTGCTCCTGCCTAATGTCAGATGAAATGGGACTCAGGCTGGCCAAGCGGATGTGCCCACATCTTTATAGAGACCTGCTCCATCCACATCTCGGATCAAGCCCTCGACGGGTGGACTCAATTTTAGTACATCAATGATGCTCTGTGCTCAAACGGAGTCAGTGGATTCTTTTCATGTGAAGATGAAACCATATTATCATCACTATCTTGTTGCTGCTGTTTACATTCCCCCACAAGTAAATTCAAAAGATGCACATGCATTTTATTTTACTGAGGAAAACTTTTGAGTTGCGGGGATCTTTATCTAGGCTAATGACCAATAGTATTGACATATTCCGTTGTATTTTTGTTTTGTCTGGTAACCTTTAACTACATTTTCTCAGTTTCACTGCAGTTTTCAAATTCCCCACAGTAGCCTAATATTTGGTCCATAACACACTTAGTTAACCACCACATATTTTTTGTTTTCCAGCTCAGCAAAACACTTCTGTTCAAGTTAAAACGCAGAGTTGGAAAGTTTTGCATTTAACAGCAGTGATACAGCACCACATGTCCTGGCATCATGGAAGATTTATGTGTTTTTATTAGACAAAGACTAAGGGCTGACTCAGTAATTGTTGAGGTATGAAACATCAGCAGCTTCAGTATTTATTGCTCTCAGTTCATGGCACCAACTCTCCCTCATTGACTGAGACTGTGGGCCTTTGTGAAGCTTTGCCTCCATCTGGTCCAGAAGATATTCTTTGTGGTGAAGGGCAGAAAACTCCGATAAGACTGTCTGAAAATGTTAGGAAATAACTTACGAAATGATATTGCTGTTGGAAACACTGAGACAGAACCATACATTAAAGGTGCCAGAAAACTGTAGGATTTTCATGTTACCCAGAATCACAATATTAAAAATATATATACAAACTGTGCGCAACACCAGAACCCTCTGAGCTCAGTTGTGAAATGTGCAGATGACACCACTGTCGTCAGTTGCATTTCAAACATGCGATTCATATTGGGAGGAAATCAACAATCTTGCAGAGTGGTGCACAGAAAACAAACTACTACGTCAGCAAAAATAAGGATTGTTGATTTTAGGAGAAAAGAGGCAATGACACACACCCCTGTTTACATCAGTGGAACTGAGGTGGAGCACATCTCTTCACTGGTTAGGAAAGCTCAGAAATTACTGTATTTCTTAAGGAAACTATAGAAAGTATCCTGACTCGAAACATCACAATGAGATGCGTACAGCCCAGGACAGGAGGACCGTGCAGTGGGTGATTAAAATTGTCCAGAAAATCATTGGTACTCAGCTACCCAAAATCTTTAATTTTCACGTTTATTATTTAAATGTATACTGGCATTCAAATAATAAACATGGGATGGCAAGTGGGTGGCATAAATAAATGCTGATTTAATCACTTACAGTCACACAAATGAAGACATTTGAACTCAACAACTTTACATCATTGTAGCACATTAGCAACGCATTAAATAGAAATATCTAAAGGTGGCATTAGAGATCAATAAATTGTTTGTTTGTTGTTGTCTTCAGACAGACAAGTACATGTATTTTTTCATTGAACTTGAGCCTATCACTTAGTCCGTCTCTGTCTCACTTAATGTGACCATAACAGATCATTACATCGTATGTGTATGTTCATTTCAATACATGTTATTTTTTAAATATTATAAATGAATGTGTTAAATTTGACACCGAACTGGAGTGGCAGCTGGGGTAGCTAGGCATTGTTTATGTCATCCCTCTAGATCTGCTCCTAGCTACAGAGAAATTTACTTCTAATTATAGTTAGCTGTATACAGTCTCATATAGTCATATGTCTGGTCTCTGTAAACCGTTTCTCATCTGCACTTTTGAACATTTGAACAGCCAATCTGTTCAACTGTCCATACTGATTGATTGATTACACTGACTTATAAGACACTGTGACACTGTAAACACCATACTCACTGTTAAAAGCATTGACTGGTAGTTTTACACACACTGCACAGTGTTAGCCTCAGTATCTTTACGAGGTCACAGGATCTGATGTGTAAGTACAGTATTCTTGTCTCGAGGCAGGTTACAGCCTGACAGTTTTATGATTTCTGCTAGTTAAATTCTGAGTTAATAAATTAAATAACACTGCTGTCGCTTTATTTTCACGGTAGAAACAATGTCACAGCTGTGAACTCGACCCCAGTAATGTTTGCGTTAAACTTTCGGAAATCACCAATAAACCTTTGAACCCAAATGAGACGTCATTAATAAGCACCAACCTGCTCTGGGAGGTCCAACTTCCTGCTGTCCAAACTGCACACTTGGTGAGTTGCTAAACTATTACTTGTTACTCATAAACACTAACCTTGTACTCCTCTCTGAGTCTAAATAGCTCCTCTTTAAATAAGCGGTTGCAGGAGCTTCAATTACAGGCAGAACACTTGTGGAAACTTGTCAGAGCAGAATGATTTGTAGGCCTGAGGTGTTCTGTTTTTTATGGGGATGTCCTGATGTGTTCCAGGCTGAGGATGAGCTCCCTCCTCCCTGCCTGGAGGAAGGTATCTGAGGAAGCTGTGGGATGAGGACAATGTGTGGACACACTGTTGCTCACATCCGAAGCCTGTGTCCGGACACGCAAAGAATGCTGTGAAAGTTTGAACTTGGTCAACTGGAATTGTACTGAGCCGAAGGAAATCTACCAGGTTTCATCATCCGAGTGATAAATCACGTGAAGAACAAGTTTGGTGAGTGCATCACAGATCAACATCAACCTGTTCAAACTCACTTACTATCCACTGGTATTCATTTGGGTTTTATTAACAAACCTAACAAAGGGAGCTGGGAGAAAATCAACTCATTTTGAGAAAGGCAAGGGAGTTAAAGCACGTTTCATACACAGGTAGATTCAAGGGTAAACAAGAATGCTCAGAGTTAAAACAACAAACTTAAAATTTGAAATAATACAATTATAAAAAAGGATAATAAAGAGGGAGGAGATTAAAATAAAAGAATAAAATAGAAATAGTGAAAGCACAGTAATAATAAGAAATATTTTTTTTAAAAAACATTTAGGTGAAAGCGCTTGAGAATAATACATTTTAATAATAATACATTAAAAATGAAATTTATTTACTGTCATGTGATCAGAAAGGAGCAGGGTCCTAAACTCACAGACACCATTGGGCTTCTCTCAGGCCATGGCCACGTTATCTCCTCCACTGTTGTTGCGGTTTTTCCCCGTCATCTGCGCTGATGTGCGTGGTGCGCTATTGTTACCACAGGTGTGTGTAGTCTACTGGTTTGCCTCCAGGGCTTTCTCACACAAATCATTAGCAAAGGTTTGTTGGAAGTATGGAGCACATGACCGGATAAATGAGCCTTGGATTATAGTTGCGTGAGTCTGGAGAGCGTGTTTTGGATTTATTCTGGGTTCACATGGAGGCATTGGCAGGAGAGGAAAACAGTCTTCAGGAATTCAAGGCAACGCGAGGTGAGTCATTTATACAGGCCTACAAATCATTCTGGGAGTGAAGTGCAGAGAGCGTCAGAGCAGCTGCCCTGCCTCTGCGACCTGCATGTTTCTGTCACCTTTCTCTGCTGACACAGTTGGTGCTGTGGTTTGTGGTCATATTAAGGCTGGGTTTGTGAAGTCCTCCGAATGTGATCCAAAGAGCAAATGTAAAATGTGTGAGAAAACAGCGTTAGAATGAAGTGCTGCAGTTCTGAAAAGATGCTCTGGTCTACGAATATTGTTCTCCAGATTTAATAAAACATGTTTGTTTGACCCCAACAAATGTCACAGCATCATGATTTTAATTGTTTTTTCAGTGAAAATTAAATTTGTGGTGCAAAAATGATCATTCTCACACTAATTATGAATCATATCACAGTTGCAGTAACTGTCCAAATAATTGCAGTATGATTTCTTTTTTTTTTTTTTTACCACATCATGAAACTGTTCAATTCATTTCCTGCCAATCAAACATGATCGAGAAAAAAAGTCCCCTCACATGTACACCTCATTGTATGTGCAGTAGGTCTTGACACAATCTTAAAGTCACAAACTTTGGATTGTGTTTTCCCTGTCTTTTTCCTTATTAATCTGATTTTATTAACTTTTTCCTCAGTCTTTGCTGTTCGGTTCAGTGTAGTCAATGAAACCCGAAAACGCAAAAAAAATGTTTGCAGAGAAGCATTTATTTAGGTACCATTTAGTTTTCAGTTCAAATAAATCAACATTGTGTCTGAATTTAATAATATTTTTCCACTTAAAATGTTCCTGTTTTTAAAATAAACCCAGAGATTGCTCATGTAATGCATACTTTCAACAAATTATAGAGTAATTTTAACTGTTGTAAATTCATTTTGTCAGCAGGAGGTGCAGTATGACAGATTAAACCCAGATGAGTTTGATTGTGGTTGGGTGCAGCAGTCTGGGTGAACAGCTCCTCCCTGCGTAGCATTGACAGGTGAAGTTTTCAGCCCAGGCGTCTAGGTCTGCGGCGGAGGGGCGACCAATGGCCACGTACTTCCTCTCAGCCCGCAGAATGCTGAAGTTGACGGGGTTCAGGTGCAGGTAGTGGCCAGAGTCGTAGTTCTTCCTGATGCAGCGCCCCTTGCCCTGGCACAAGACCTGGCTGCAGAGCATGGCGGCTGCCGTCACGTTGGCGATGTATGGGTTGAAGGTGGATGTCAGGTACTCGGACAGAGACTGACAGGCAGCCTAAAGGGAGGACGTGGAGTTAATGAGTAAGACTCGGGTATGTTAGGACAGAAATAAAAGATCTGTTATGGCTTGAAGGTCCAGAGTGTAACATTTAGGAGGATCTATTGTCAGAAATGGAATATAATATTCCAGTTCCTCCAGGAAGCGGTTGCAACAATTAACACAAATTCAACCAATCCTTGTGACCTTGCAATTTTGTCCAGTCACTGCAGCTTTTCTGCAGGTTTCCTGCACAAAACATTGAGTGTCATGTCTCCAAACTCACTTCCTATTTTCTAGTTGTGAAAATGTGCATTGCAAACATTTCAAATGTACCATGCTCAAACAGTGTGTTTTTTTTTCTCATTGGAACAAGGTGCCTTTGAATTATACAAAAAATAATAATAATTTTGACTGCTTTTGCAATTTTCACTTTCTCTCCCAATTTCATTGCAAAGAAATGCCTAAAAACATTTTAGGCCGCAACAATTCCAAAAAAAGCAAGCAAGCTAAATCCTACACGATAAACCATATAGAAAACAAGACCCAGAGAAGAGATTGAAATATTTTTTGTCACATATTGAAATGTGAAATGTTCTGTCTGGACCAAAGTGGTGGGTGACCAGTCGATCAGCAGACAGGCCGAGGTTGTAACTGCCACTTGCATGACTACAACCTTCTCCATAAATACAACACTGTACCGTGTGTATATATATATATATATATATATATATATAAATATATATTCTGTTAGATAATAATTCTGTATTCTGTTATAAAAATAACAAAATACATCATATAACAATTAATACAAGAGCAGAAAAGTCAAATGACTTTTGTCAGTTGAGATAACATATGCTGTGTTGTTATAGCTGTCAGTTCCTCCTAAAAGAGGAAACAAAGGCAAATTAATTCTTAATTAAGTCATCTTGGTTCCTGTTTTCAGACCTGTGAAGAGTATCACACATATATAAGTCTTCAAGTCTGTGTGATTATTTCCAGCTTCTCTCTGCTTCATCTCAGCAGTTTATACACAACATTTGTCTGACTCTCCCTCCAATGCAGCTCAAAACATTGGCAGAGAAAACAGAAAGAGGGAATTTTATACTGAAAAGACTGAAATCTCTTGCAGCATAGCCGTGTTAGGCTACATATTGGCTTGTTAATATTTGGAAAGACTTGGGAAACAATCCTGTAATGACCAGTCCAACCAGTGAGTATGCTTAAAAAAACTGTGGTTACCTTGTTGTTGTAGTCTTTGGTTCCTCCCCACATTACGACCCCTGAAGCCCCCAGAGCTACAGACTCTCCTATGGTGCTCACCAGGTCAGCCTGAAGGAGGACAAACCACACAGGAGGTTTAATAGAATACTCCTAGTAATATGTTTTTATATTAATTTAATTTGTTCCAAAAAAGTCAATGTGGAAGTCAACATATAGATACAACAAACTTGCTGCTACAGATAAATCGGTTTAATCACCCATGTCTTTTCTTTTTTCCTTTTTTTTGTCAAAATGAGTTTAGCGTCACATAGTGATGCAGCTGGGAGCAGGAAGTGTTCTTTCGGGCTGGAATCCCATACAAGAGATAGATACAAACACACTTCTTACTTAGACAGTATATTTCTGTGTATTTTTTGCCCACTCAGCATATATATGGAACTCTGGCTGAGACAATTGTTAGGTATTATTTTAGGCAAAATACATTGCATATATGTTATCTTCATTAACATATTGTTGACTTGCAGAAAATAACCATAAATGGTCGTTGCATTTCTGAACAAATATAATAATTGTACAAACAATAATCATCATGTACAATTTTTCTTTTTCTTTTTGCTGAAATCGGAGACATTTACCGAGATTACTCATAACATCCTACCCAGGCCTCTGAATTTACAGCAATTATAGGTCTGGTGTTATGTTTATTGACAGCCGTCTCCCTGCAGCAACCAAGTCGAGCCAACGTTTATTGTTTGTTTTCCAGGTATCCAAGCAACAGCATGGAAGAATCTTCAACCAGTGCCCAATGCCAACTGTATTACCAACCTAAGGTTAGTGAACAAGCAGCTTAAGCTACTCTTAAGTAACTGAACTGGCTCACCTGGCTCTGGAACTTCTCGGTCTGGTCCCGGTACAGTGGCCTGGAGTAGACGTAGACAGGCATCGTGTATAGACGTTTAGGCAGCATGGCAACCCTCAGCGCCTCCTGGACACGGTTGCGGACGTAGAGCGTGGCCTTGGGGGAGTTCCTCAGGGTCTTGTGGAGGTAGATGGAGGGGAAGAGGGCGGTACTTCGCTCCCACAGCCACACCATCTGGTTGTTCTGCTTCTGGGTCCTGGTGGAGCACTTCCCTGTATAGCCAGGCTTGTCCCAGCCATAGTTGAAGCAATCAGGGAACAGATAGAAGCCCCAGCGGCGACTTGGACGCTCGCCGATGCCGAGGCTGATGGTCTTCTCCATGAAGCGCCGGCCGGCCTGCTGGAACTGGTTTTTTGCCAGGTTGGATATTTTCTTTGATGATAAAAACGGGGCTATCTGCAGGGCATGAGTGATGGACAACTTCTGATAAATACGTTTAGATCCCCAGTTCTGGTCCCATAGGGGGCGCCAGGACTCCCAGTCGATGACAGCCAGCCCAGGAGAGGAATCCTGGGAGATGAAGTGATCAATTTGACTCCGGGCCTTGGCCAGATGCTCCGTCAGGTTCCCATTTTGGGGTACTCCGCCTCTGTAGCGCTTGCGTTTGCCGATGTCGACTTTAGGATAGAGGCCGAGGCGGTCTTCGTAGAAGATGGTTAGGAACTGCCCAGACACCGCAGTGGGGGTAGTCACCGCCTGGAAGGCTGCCGTGTCCAGTGGGATGTCGAGCAGTCGACACTGGTCAGTGGGGGCATTCCATACGGCCACAAAGGGATGGTCGTGGATCAGTGGCGGCTCAGTTGGCGGCAGTGCGAAGATGGTGGTGGTAGATCCGATGATACAGAGGGTGACGTAGGACAGGAAGGGCAGGGCCATCATGATAGCTCTGGACAAATAGAGGAAAGACAACAAATAAGTCTCAGTTCCAATTCAATCTCTGAAACACTCACCCTGCCTCCATTTTCACATGGAGGGGTTTTCATATCAATGGCCATCCCAAACCTGTGGAAAGGACGTGGACGATAAAACCCTCTGATAACATTGTCCTTTTTAAAATATATAAAAAATCATCTTGGTCTAGAATATAAACCTGTAGCTTCAATTTCACCTTTTCATGGTGGGTTTAAAATCACAGAATTTACTGGAACCATCACTTTGTCCATATAAATGTATTTGATTTGTGAATCATTAGTCTACAGGCTCATGTCAAACAGTGCTACGGCTCCTTTTAGACTGAGTGACAACAACAATTTATTGTACGTCACACTGTGCGAGACGGGTCTAATAAATTCTGTCAGGCTGTTCCATATCAATTTGAGGCTGTCAGATGTGCAATGAATGTGTGGTGAATCGTTGCACTATGGTGGAAGTAGTTTGCCACTTCTAAGCATTGAAAAACCTTAAAACAGTAAACCCTCATCTTTTTGGCTTGATGTGTTTTTCTTACTAAACTTTCCATTAAAAAATGTAGTGCCACTCAGTGTATTGTGTCATTTCAAGTTGTGGATTGTAGCTGTCACCTCATAAGAATTTGGTACAAAATGTTGCCTCACGTTGACTTCGGTCCCCAAAGCTCAACCATCGGCCATCAATGGTGTTTCACAGTGCAATCTAAGACCACTGTTTCTGATTGATGACTGAAGATTCTCTCTCTCTCTGTTTCTCTCATGATTGTCAACTTTCCTCTCAGATAGCCCAAAATGAAACAGTGTATTGGGCCTAAAGATTGGTCTAATAAGATCTAAATTAATCTGTATCAGTCACAAACAATAATAGTTTGGAGGGATGTCAGATTGTTTGCTGAATGTTGGTGAATTGTGCTACAATGGAAAGCTGTTTGTTTTACCAATAGACATGATGTGATATGTCCGTGTTCACTTCTATGGGCAGGTCCAATATGGCGGCTATAGACACTTCCTGCTGTGTTGTGGCTGGTTTGTAAACGTGGCTTACATAGAGAACATCTTGGTCCTAAATTTCCAATGGTGTCACAATTTTGATGCAGGCTGTTTTTGGTCTCCATAGCTCTATATGTCCTTCATCGGTGTCTTACAGTGACATTAAAGATTTCACCTTGTTCCAAAAACTGTCAGCACATTTTGTGGATGTTATGTTATGTTAAAACCTTGTTTATTTCCTTGTTTTGATTATATGTATTTGTAGGATTAAAGAAAACATAAGGCATACTGAAAATAATAAGTTAGAAGATAATTGTTGTAATTGCAGTCTATAATTATAATATAATTCTATATCTTATATAATTGTATTCTATTTTAGTGTGCCTTTTTCAATATCTGATTAAGGTCAGCTGGGACCAGTTTACGGTTTTTCTTCTTTCTGTTGATCAATGAGCATTTTCCTGAACAAACTATAACACGAAATAAAGAGAAATACATATTTCACTAAAGATTTCATGAACATAAACTAATCATAAGGTGTTTGTTTCTTATTTTCCAGAGACATTTTTTAGGGATGAGGTTTTCACTTGACAATCAAACGCAAATCACAGATAAGCTGTTATTAATGTGAAAGATTAACACAAAATCAGTCTGACAGTGAACTGTCTCTACAGAGGAAACTCAAAAACTGAGGACAAATCGTCCATATAATTGACCATATCATTATATCCAATAGTCTCATTTAATGTAGCAGTTAAAGTAAGTGAAATGCATATTTTAAATAGTTTTGCAGTGTTCTTATGTTTTTATGGAATAAAAGTGTTTCCAGTTCCTACCTGCTGCTCTCTTCAGTGACCTATGAAGGACTGTTCGCTGTTTCTAAACTTCTCTACCTCTGTTTTTTGCTGTTTCATTTGTCAGGAAACTGTTTCTTCACTCTGATTGATCGTTATCTGACTCCAACAACTTGCTCCAAACAATGTTAGAGCTGAAGTTTAAGTTAGTGTTGAAGTAAAGAACAGTGAAGAAATATGGAGAACAGTTCATTGAATATTTTAGTTATTCAAGTTAACCAACAATTTCTTTATCTGAGTTTAAGATAATAGATGGCATCAAATATCAAAGTACATTTTATGTTACTGCACTAATACTTTAAAGCAGTATTTAGTAGCAAAGTTTTGCACTTTTAGATTATAACAAGCTGCATTTAGGTGTTTTCTTGCACATCTCTGCCACCAGTCACAAAAACATTTAAAATGTATGCCTCACAGCAGCAGAGCATTAGAGGGTTCAGCTGTTCTGTACAGTACACTGTTTGTTAAAGGGGACAGTGAACTGTACAAAAATGTACAACAGTACACAAAAAAACATGGGTTATGGTTTAAACATCAATGCATATTTCTTTTGGTTGAACATTATTTGATTCTTTCTATTGTGTTAAGATCTAAGTTCCACAAAATTTTTGGGTGAATTGCTGAGATAACAGTTCTGATAAACAGAGTGTTATTAACTAAAGTGTGTCTTTCTTTAACTTTAACTGTATTTCTATATTGCAGTGTTTTTGTTAAAGTGTGGAGAGGGCCGAAGGCTTCTGGCAAAAAGTTTGACCCAAGTCATAAGGCAATGGTACCAAATACTAATGAAATGTATGTAAACTTCTGACTTTGAAGAAAGTAATAAAATCATTGTCTAAAAAATTCTCTCTCTCATTATTCTGGCATTTAGCAAATAGAAATAATTTTGGTAATCCTAACGGACCTAAAACAGGAAAAGTGATTGTCTGATTTCATGTCAGACAGTGAGAAAAAAAAGCGTATGTGTCTTTTTATACAGTGTATGTAAACTTCTGGTTTCAACTGTATATCATATATTTTCATAATTGATAGTATGCGGGTCCCATCTATAGCTGAGGAATTAATTTGAGCTTGGACATAACTTCCACCAGTGTTGCCACATATCACAAACTGATGTGGTCAGAGTTGTTGATCCACACTAGTGACTCACCAATGACTTTCGTTCACCCTTGTTCTGAAACATCTGTAGTTTACATGACTGAACTTAGATTAGGTGAACAGGGAAATATCTTTAAAGAACATTTAATTTGTCCAAGGCAAATTATATATCAACTGACTGCACTGTCGACCAGTATCTGTGTTTGACTTGTGCTCCACAGATCGATTGAATGTTTGATATTTTTCATGAGTCATCGTCGGTGAGAAAGTACAGAATGTTATCTTTTTGTCTACACCTCTTCCTCTTTTCAGCTTTCAGTATTTGGACAGAATCCAGACAGTAGATGATTCAGGTTTCCTGGCTTGGATGTGAAAACACTAGTGAGTGACATTTTACTGACATTTTACTGCAGCCACACTAGCACCATTGCAAGGCTGTAACACTCATCAGACGTGGCATGCACAAGTTGCACAAAGTGGAAGTTTTCTGATTGTCCAATTGGCTGCCGAAGAAACGTGTGCACAGAAGAAACGTGTACTGAAAGAAATTCTTTATTTGCAGTGCAATTACATTCAAATAACATTTTTCATGTGTTGCATAGTCCTTGCATATTTGGTTTACAATCTTAAGAGACAAAACATTGTGCACTGCAGTAAGCGCTACTGCAACAAGCTGAGTGAAGTGAAGCTCTTCAGAACTGAACTTCACCTGAAAGCTTGTTTGAGATGAAAGTACTGATTCAGTTCAAACCAGGATCAGGGTTACAGAGACTTGTAACATGCTACATGTTTAACTTAAAAGACCATAAAGTTAGAGAAACTCTACCTATAGACCATTAGACATCTTTGGGATGACCCACCCAACGCAAACCAGGTCTCAGGCCTACCTCTCCACTGGATTTGGTTAAGCTTAAAATGCTCCAGGTCTCTGACCAATGATACACTTGGACTGGACCCCAGAACACTCTGTTAGCAACAAATTATAAGTCAGTTTCACAAGAGGCTTTTTCTAGTGACTAAGCTCTTAGTGTGCAGTAAAAATAGAAACACAATGCTGCTGTTTATTTACTTTAAAGATATGTTCAAACTGAACATATAGTATATTTTCTGAGAGATGCGATTATGAAAAGACATGAATGGAAATGTAGTTGCTCTAGGCACAAAGTGTGCTGAGTTGAAAAGGCTAGTTGAAAATATTTCAAATGGAGTGGGAAAAACTGCAACTACATGCCATTTGTCTTTGCCCTCCAAAACGACCGATATGACCTTTTTCTGGTTTACAGCCTTATTTGGAGGACACAATTGTTTGTCACTGTCTTCCAAAATGATTACAGGTAATTCATGTGAGTGTTTTCTGCTCTGTCACTTCTATGGTTCAGGTCACTATAACTGCTTGATTAAGGTGAGGAAAAGATTGTGCACATGGTTAATGGTCCTAAAGTTAATGGAGTGTCCTAGCAGAAGTAGACAGGAATACAAACTACTAGACGAATGAAAGTTTAAACATCTACAGATGTATGAAAACTGAGCAAACTTCATTTGATAATGAAGTTTGAAAGCTCCTAAATAATGGACTTTAAGTGGAGAACTTTAGCATCCTAGATAGCTGTTCTCTGAGGGTTAATGGTCTGGGTAAAAACAAATCAAGACAGAAAACAACAAACTGGTAAGAACAGTTTTTCTGAACTCAGATTGGTTCAGGTTTGGGTCCATGTCAAGTACAAACGATTTGACTTAAATTCCCTTTAACCTACATTCAGTTTTTAGTCAGCTTTCTGCCTCCAGTCATGTTTTTGCAGAAGATGATACTTTAGTCCCCTTTACACTTTTGTACTGCTCTATATTTCAACTTTGGTTTGAACTGAAACCACCAACTTTGGAAAGCAGTAGGCACTGAAGAACCAAAGGACCAGAGAGAGCCACTGAGTCATGTATTCAGATTTAGTATGTGCCATCTTTTATATCCTGTTCAGTGTATCGTCATACCTACAGTAATGTTCATCAGTGACATAACTGCTTCCACAAGATGAGATATCACACATTTGATTTGATTCCTCTAAACTGAGATATAGTAACATCATCGTCTACATACAGTAATCATTGAAAAACAAACCTGATCCTCTATTCTTATACTTACATCCATATAGAAAAGCTACAGATACATAATATTTTGAAATGAATAGCACCTAAAACATGAGCACGCCACGTCCCAAAAGGGTCAAATATGAGGCATTTCCTTACAAGCTGTACTTCAAGAATATGTAAGCAACAGTACAAAAAATACACAATGTATAATGTCAAGTAAAATAACAGCTTATTGTTAAAGCTTCATGCCATTAGAAATAAACAAAAATTCTTAAAGGATGTCTTCAAAACAGCCTTGCCTCCTAGAACTTAGATTTATATACAACTAATTTGCAACAGCAAGTGTTTTGAGGGAAACCAAATTATGTTTTCTAATAACATAATGAGGAAATGTTAATTATCATACCTGACAAAAAAAACAAACATTGAACTTATTAGTGAAGTGTTCACTGACAATGTATTTCATTGATTTCCGCCAAAATAGGCAACCTAGGAAAACAGTCCATTTGACTAAAATCATGATCTTTCCTTTACCTCAGCTAGGTCTGGACATGAACCCCAGAACTGTGGTGTGCACTTTGTACGTCCACAGTCCACCCCAACCACCTGCTTTATCACTCCACCTTGCCACATAAATGTGGTGTTTCAAAAATGTTTATCTCTGAACATAATTCAGGCAGGTATTGGTTGTCATCACAATGTAATTCTTAAAACAATTTTGTAATGTAGAAACATAATTCATAGGAGACAGGATTGCTTCAAAAACACCAGACCAAGCATTAAATGTTAGTGATTATTTTCCTACATATGGTTGTGTGGTAGTATTAGCACCCTTTGGTTTTCATTGAAAGGCTTGGTTATTGTGTTTCCACAAAACAAACTGGAGGATCATTCCACAGCAAGCCACATTTTACTGCAATTCTTTTTAAGTGTGAAAAGTAAAAATGTGCAGTCTGATCCTCATTCTGCAGTGACACTTTTCAAACCTTCCCTTTCCTTTCCTTTCCTACATTTACTAATTAACATTCTTGGAAGAACTGCAGTTGTTGACACAAAAGGAAGTGCATGTTTTTGCTGTAGTCAAATACAGCTCAGTTTAACTGTACAATTAACCAAACCTTTATCTACCAACAGGCCAAACCCTGGTGTCATGTAAATTGCCATTACACTCCTTTTAAAAGGGTGTTTTTAGACATGTTACTTTTCAACACAGCAGTGATCAGAGAAAAAGGCTTTGTTTTCATTTCACATTTCACCATTAATGCAAACGCCCTCAGCTGAGTGTGTGATCATTGTGGCGATCAGCTTAAGTTCCTCTAATGGCCATGAGCAAAACTTACACCAATCAGCCATAACATTATGAGCACTGACAGGTGAAGGTAATAACACTGATTATCTGGTTATCATGGCTCTTGTCAGTGGGTGGATTATATCAGGCAGCAAGTGAACATTTTGTCCTCCACTTGATGTGTTAGAAGTAGGAAAAATGGGCAGCGTGAGGATTTGAGCAACTTTGACAAGGGCCACATTGTGATGGTTAGACGACAGACGTCCTTAGTTCAAATTCAGCCAAAGACCAGTTTGTCTTCTTCTTAAATCTAAGACATTATGCTGTCTGTGTGTTGAAAAACTAACATCTGCACACAGCTTTGTTGAAACCTATTTTTTGCAAACTGCGTCATACGGCCGTCTTTACCAACAATAAGTTCAACAGGATCATCAACAAAATCAGCTGAAGGCTATAGCTGGTCAGTGGTGCCACACTCTCCCCTCCCTCCCACCGTTCACCCTGCTCGTCCTCCCACTCCGTTCTCCGCCTCTCCTGCTCGTCCTCCTCCTCGTTCCTCCACGGCCTGTCATCCTCCCTCACTATGTTGATGCTGTCGCAGTCCTCGCCCTCATGGCCTTCGTAACAGTGGCAGCGAAACCTCTCAGTCAGCAGCTGCAGCTCGTGCTGTGAGTGCCACCCAGTAACGGCAAAGTTCCCATCAACAGAAAGCCGGATGCGGTAGCTTTTGGCACTCAGGTGGAGGTAATGGTGGGCGAGGGGGTCTCTACGGACACAGCGGCCATTCCCCTGGCACAGGAAGTCACTACAGACTTCAGCAGCTCGCGTCACATTCGTGATGTACTGGCCCAGGCGATGTCTCAGGAAGGATTTCACCTTGGTGCAGTTGTGCTGTGGAAACAAAACAACACATCTACATTTTTAAGCAATGTCTCACAAATTAGGTATAATGTAGATAGGAAGTTTTTATTGCAAAATGAGAAACCAGTAACATATGTATCAGTTTGATACTACCACCAGCCATTGGGTTCTTGTGTGTTCTTTCATTTGGTAGAGACATTTCTTTATCGAGGGTCACTCTACGTAGATATGTTGCATTTTAGTTCGAGTTTCCATGTATCTCCCATAGGCTTCAATAGGTCTACACTAAGCACATTGAACACATAAAACATTGTCTTTTATAGTTTCCTTGAGTGTGAGACAGATTACAGCCCTTCTTGTTCTTTAGGACCATTAGGAATTCTCAAGCAGCCGCTGGTGAGATTTTCTTAATTTCACATTCAGAATCACAACCTGAACACTACAGTCAAACAGAGACAGAATTTAACTTAGAGAAAGTGAGTCGGCCTAACTACCACAACATGAGAAATATTGAACAGTGAGTCATTCACCCTCTAATAAATTTCCTCCACAGACACCAAGCCCTCTGCAAAAAAAACCCCAAAATGTAGGTGATGCAAGTGAACAGTCTAACAAAATATCTGGAGACTTTTATTGTGAATAACGTAAAGGAAATTAAATGTGTTCATCACCGGAAAGAGCATAGTTGGCATTTATTCTTTTATTCATTTTAACCGCCGCAAAAAAATCTGAAAATAATGTTTGGATTGACTGCTTTTTATTCAAGTGACCATTGCGGCTCTCTCTGCCTTCAAAGACACAGTTTCAAGCAGTTAGCCCTGTTGTAATGGACAAACTGAGTCGAGCCAAGCTATCATGTGTATGGAAAAAGGTTATGCCTTGGCTGGTCAATTGCTTCCAAGGCTGGCTACTAGCACACCGAGCTAAATAAGGCGTATTACCATCCCCAACTGTAAACAAATTTGATTTGATTGGATTTGTTGCAGATTGCAACTCTCTCTCGCTTTACCCTCCCTTTCCAAGCATGAAGGAGAAGCTACGGTGGCCTCCAAACAACTAACGAACACCTATCTATCGATCGATCGATCTAGCCAGTGTTTGTCTGTTTTGGTTTACCATAGAAACTCCATGGAAGGCTACTCGTGGAGTCTATAGATATAAGATGATAAAAAACATTGAGGTGATTATATACTAATGAAAACATAGTTTTATTATTATGTTAAATTTCTGCCAATAGACTCTCCTATGTTACACACTGGACCTTTTAAGAGTTAAGGTGGGCAAAGCAGAGGGAAACAGATGCACTCAAAACATTTTTTGAAAAGCAACTGCAAATTCACTCAAGGCCACTCCCTGAGATTCTGGTGACTGTCAGATGCTGTTTGGATGCAGACGGGATCACTACAGGCCATAAAAACATGCATTACAGTTTTCAAAATGACAGTGACACACAGCGACCACATGATGTCAACTTTCTATTGTCTGACTCTATTTACAGCTGTGGTTTGTTCGGAGTCCAAAACAAATCAAGAAGCTTGAGGAAAGAGTGTTTTTCACATGAAAGTACACAGACTGTTTCAATAACACAAATTAGAACAAAAAGCCACAGCAATGCCTATGACCTGTGTTTAAATATTCTTTGTGTATCAGTGAATCATTAGCTGATAGACAAAGTCAGAGGATCCTTTCCCTCTGTGAGCCAACAGGTTGGTTTTACAGAAACAGGCCGTAAAGATGTAAGGGTCTTTTTTCGCAAAGCCCAAAGGACACCCACCCTGGACGAGGTCAGGTTCAGGTCTCCCCAAATGACAAATCCTGCAGCTCCCAGTGCAGCACTCTCCCCGATGGTGTGGATCAAGTCTTTCTGTAGGAAACACACAGGTACAGAAGTCACATCACAGGTCTGTCTCTGTCACTGACCCACATATAAAATAAATATAAAAATTATCTTAATTAACCAAAAAGCTTTTGAGTTAAATGATCAAACAGAACAAATTTTGAGAATGGATCTCTTCTATCACATGGCACGGAAGCCCTAAAAGGCCATGCATTCATACATTTTATTTCCTCCGTTTTCCCGAGATAACGATATAATTAATTTGAGATATCGAGATAATGACTGTGATATGATACTGGGTAGCCAGCCGTCTCCGATCTCCGTGGTAATCGCCACACTTAAATTTCGCGTAAGTATTATCGATTATGGTAATTGCGGAGAAACAGCGTATCACTCCGTTTTCAAAATAACAGTATTAAGAACAGTAAGCTATAATTCAAACCTAAATTTAAAATAAAATATGTTCCATTAAAGTGTTTCATGCACCCACAATGACTAAAAAACATACTTAATATCAAGCATTTTTACTGCACCAATGTGGAGAAATGCCAAAACAAAAGTTCCATATTTGTACCATAATGCTGAGAATACTTGTACACTTGAAATTTAAGTGCAGCTGATTTGACCACAGAGATCAGAGTACCGGCTGGCTTGACCGCAGTTATCATATCACAGTCATTATCTCGAGATCTCAAATGAATTATATCGTTATCTCGGGAAAACAAAGTTTCGTTATCTCGAGATCTCGAGAAAATTAACTCGTTATCACGGGAAAACGGAAGAAATAAAATGTATGAACGCATGGCCCTTTAGGGCTTCCTTAACATGGCATAACTGACAATCATATATTTTACTCAATGTAATTAATTCATTAAGACATAACTATGTATCATTGGTACAAAAACTACACAAAAACTCTTCAAATCCATGACTTTTATATACATTATTATATACTTTGTTCTATTTTATTTACTGTTTTGTAAATTTAATTTAAAATGTGTGTTAATACACTTTCTGTGTGTGTAACATGGAGAGGGCTATAACTGCATTTCATTATGCAATCCTGTATTGTATAATGATTATAAAGCTGAAGCTTAGACAAATGCATTTTATGTGACAAGAGAGAATAATTATGTTGACCAAAGAGCCACAAAATGGCGCCTCTGATTCTGTTCGAGATCAAGTGAAGAAGAACTGAAATATTTCTCAAATAAGCCTTTTTCAAAATTAAAATTATTTAAAATTAAAAACAGATATTTCAAAGGTTATTTCTAAAACTCCTCAATGAATCTGTAGGCATGTAGACAAATAACTGTATCAGGTAGAGCAAGGAAACCACAACACTGGTGACTCTGAGCTGCTGTTCTATGGATGTCCGCTAGATGGCAGAAGTCAATAAATTCAGACCTTCAGTCAGTGCAAACAGCCGGTGTAGTGAATAAAGGTACATCTTTATGTCAGAGATTCCTATTATATATTGTAGTGTCTTTGATAAACATCTGTGTATAAGTTCCAATAGTTTGATACTATGGCTTATGCAGCAGTAACAGTGATGGAAAGTAACTATATTATTATATGATTATTTTACTACAGTCAAGTATTTCTTTTGCAGTCAGAAATAAGTAAATCAGTGAGGATTAATAAATACTCTTGTGTATGTTTGTATTATTTCACAAATGTTTTATTATTTTTCTTCCATGTTATCTTTCTGAGGATAAATTAAATATAAACTATTTGACCACATCTGTCCTTGTCTTTACTGTACTGTTTAAAATGAATAAGTAATAATAAAAGTGATATATTATAATTAATTATAATTTAACCCAGGTGACATAAGGTTGTCCATCTTGACATTTCTTTTATTGTGCAGGTTGTCACAGAAAAAAACTTGGTGTGGGTCAGTGAATAGCTGCAATTTATCCATGTAAATGTCAAATGAATGTGGGAAAAGAGTTGAATATTTCCACCTTACGTCAGTTATATATATATATATATATATATATATATATATATATATATATATATATATATATATATATATATATGTATAGTAAAGATTTTAAGGTGCTGATAATATTGAACCATAATGTTATCTGCTTTTTTGTGACAACGTTCTTGTCAGTGTCCAAAACAACTCATATAACCTTTATACATATATAATGTTTACGCTTTTTATGATCTGTCACCTGGTTTGGGCACCTAAAGCTACTTGGTTATGGTTAGGGAGAGATTGTGGTTGTTGTTCAGGCTTCCACATTTAACATAATGTAACTATAACAAGCTACAGGACTGTCCAATAACTGTCCAACCAGATAAACGTTGTTCTTACTGCGGTGAGGAAGGTCAGGGCCTCGTCTCTGTAGCCCAGCCTCAGGTACACATAGGTGGGGAGGTCGTACTCTTTGGAAGTCAGCGAGGCAACCCGTAGCGACTCTCGGATTCTGTGCTGGGAGAAGTGCAGGTTGCTGATGCTGTTGGTGTGACTTTTCCTGATTGCCACAGAGGGGAAGAGTGCTGTGCTGCTGTTCCACAGCCACACCAGCTCTTCGTTCCTCAGCCTCTCGAGCAGAGGGCAGAAGCCTGTGTAGTTCTGCTCATGCAGGTTGTAGTTGTGGCAGTCAGGGTAGAGGTAGAAACCCCAGAGAGCATTGGGGCGAAGGCGTATCCCCAGCTGGATAGTCCTTTGCATGAATGCCCTGGCACTCTTCTCAAACCGCCGCCGTGCCAGCTCCTCCACCTGTGCCTCCGTCACGTTGATATACGCCTTGGCGGTCAGCTCCTTTGACTTGCGGCGGTAGATGTCTTTTTTGTGCCAGTTACGGTTCCACTGAGGCCGCCAGAACTCCCAGTCAATGACAGCCAGGCCACGGAAGTCCTCTGCAGGGATGAAGTGGTTAATGTCCTGGTAGGCCTTGAACAGATGCAGGTCCAGGCTGCAGTTCTGAGGCAGGCCGCCATGCACAGGAACGCCCTGTGGCGTGTAGTGGGGGTAGTAGCCCAGCCGGTTGGCATAGAAGATGGTGACGTTCTGGCCCGTCCAATCAGCACGCGGGCTCCCGTGGATGTGGAAGAGGTGGTCGATGTTGGTGGTAACATTGTACTTGATGATGCACATGTCCAGCGGGGCGTTCCAGGCTGCGATGAAGGGCTTCCGGCCAATCAAGGGCAGCTTGGCGGGTTTCTGACCGAAGGCGGCGTGGAAGAGCAGGAGCAGCCAGGAGCAGGTGAGGGCAACAGGTACAACATGGTGGGAGGAGGATGTCCCGCCCACTGGCACTACAGGCATCCTGGAGTTCAGAAGGAGCAGCTGTCAATCATCCTGAAAAGCGAGAGAGAGAGGCATGAAAAAAAACAGATATATTGATTATTTTTTCCAACTTTATCTAACTTGGCCATTTTTAAACTTCAAGATTCACCTAATCGCAGGTGTGTTGCACAAAGAATTGCATTAAAGAGGGGTGCCCAGGTAACTCACTGGGTAGAGCGTGTGTCAGGTTTAATCCGGCCCAAGGCCCTTTGCTGCATGTCATCCCCTCTCTCCCCTGCCTTTTCTGTCTCTCCACTTTCCTGTCAAATAAAGCAAAATCCCCCAAAATACTTAAAATAGAATTTGCATGAAAGGATAGGAGTTGGATTAGGGTTTAGTTTCGCATACTGAATAAGTCTTTAGAAGAGGAAGCCCCAAGTGAATCATATTCAAATGGTGATGTACATTAGATATTTCAGACATTTGGGAAGGCCCAGCAATACACTAGACAGCATTTCCATTTGAACACCTTTTTAGCAAATTCCTTAAATTTAATCAAAAGAAAGTTAAGACGTGACAAGATGAATAGGAGTAATGGTGATACATTAGGTTGTGATGTAGACATGACAGTCTTCTCTGTGTAAGAGGAATCGGGTAGAGCAACATCGAGGTGTATTTGAAAAAAATATTTTTGTCAGCCACTATCCCATCTTCGCTATTTACAATATATACCGACAGCACAGATTACAGTGAGACATAATGTGAATATAAAGAGCATGGTCTTTCACAGTAGTTGTTTGGGAATGTTAGACAGTGCCTCTCTAGCACCACCATCAGGAGAAAATGTTATCCTTACACACAAGAGATCAGTGGACAAAATTTCGTAAAATGTTATTATTGTGCGTACATTGCTGCGTAGGTAAGTAATAAGGCTTAAGACTCTTTTTAAAGTATATTCCAAAACTAGAATTCAATATACAAGTAAATATTGAGCAATCTCTAGGGATGTTGGATGTATACCAAGTGGCTGCCGCTGGGTCCCGACCCTACTGTTAAGACACTCTGGCGTCATGTCTCCAGCGGAGATGTTGACAGACTGACCAGAAAAAGCAACAGAGACACTAAACCTAAATAACAGTGTAAAATGTGTGTCAGCCCATCTGCAGAACTCTCTTCAACTTAATTTGACCTTCTGCCTGTTTTTATATTGTTCTCGTTCAATGAGTTTATGGAAGTCACAGCTGGATGAGCTCAACAGTTACTCTGAATTTACTCCAAACTGGTCATCTGCAGCGTCTGTCATATAAATAAATGTCTGCTTAACTATTCTCTGTGTTTGTGAGTGTTTAAATGTTTGAGTTACAGCACAATAGCAGATCATGAAAGCTTTAACATTCGCTTGTTCATGTGATTTTATGAGCCAATACTTTTTCCATGTTTAAGGCTGAAAACATCTGGGATTTATTCGTAAAGCCTCATTTACTTTCCAGTTCTTGAAACTTAATTTAAAAATCCTTGGAGGAGGTGCCCAGATAGCTCACTTGGTAGAGCTGGTGCCCCATGTACCAAGGCTGAGTTCTTTCTTAAAAACTTAAAAAAAAACTGAAATCCCAATACTTTTCCGAGAATTCAGAGATACAATAGCCTACAATGTACTGTTTTTAAACCACCACTACAAGGACAAATCTTTCACTTTTACACAAAAAATATCAAAAATACTAATCAGTGTGACATTCAATTTCAAATTCCTGCTCCCCAAATAATGGACCCTTTACATTTAAATGACCCAATGATCTTTCCACTGTCACCCTCAGGGCAATTTCACATTCATAGTAGTTTGTACTTTCAGACCTCTAAATCACTGTACACATACACAGCGTCTTAAATAGGTCTGGTGTTGTGCTCATTGACAGCTGTTATTCCTGGTTGTATAAAATGTCAACCAATCAGGGATATGGAGGCATTTTATTTTCATCTACTGACTGTTGCTGTCCTCTGAGACATAATTAGTTCTTGGCTCATTTCCATGGCACCCAAAAGGTCAGAGGTCACAGAGAGGAAGTCAGTTGACACCTAGGTATTCAAAAGAGGACTTCAGCTGGATAGACCACGGCTGCTTTCCTGTCCACATCTAGTCATCTTCTGACCAGAGCTGAAGCCTCAGGCCATAATGACAGGCTTCCCTTCCAAACGTCTCAGTATTTGCTGTGTCTCTGCGTCCAATATACAGCTGAGTGATCCAAACATTCAGTCAAAGAGCAAGGAAGGACCAATCCGATGTCGGAATTTTGGACTTAAGTCATTTCAGTCTAGGTTCTTTCTGTGTCATTTAGTACAATTCAAAGGTTAATTTAATATCTTACCAGCAATGTGAATACCAGGTTTTGACCTGACTGGTTGACGTTCATAAAGGTTTTTCACTTCTTCACTTTTTTAACGTATCTTGTTATTTATTGTAACATTCACAAATAACTGAATAATATTTCATTGAAAAGTAACTTCGAAAGAGTGCTGAAAATCTGTTCTCTAGTAAAAGTATTGTTACTGAAATATCAACTACAGAACTACTGGTGTTAAAAATACTTAAATAAAAGTACAAAATATTCTTCTCAAAAACTACTCAGAGTATTAGTTACTTTTTGATGATGTTTAATGCGTTATCAATAGCAGGTATTCAATCGAAAGGGGAGATTCATGTAGAAAATATCTGCTTAGAGCAAAGCCCATTTTTTCTGATAAATGATGAAAAAAGTTTAAATGCAGATATGATAAAGCAGGAATCATGTTTTTTAAAAGCATACTAAAACTGTTTTGTAATTTGTAGTGTAATTGATATAAATCGCAATACACTGCAAACAAACAGTCGGGCGAGGGTCTACTCTGTCTCCATTTGGTTTCTCTTTTTCCATATCTTCAGTCCTTGAATTACTCCCAACTTCTGCGCTGTTCTGGTCAGTTACCTCTCCAAACCTGTATCGGCTGCAGAGTTGTTGTTTTTTTCTTGGAAAAGGTAGAACAGACGCAGAACCACATTGTGAGCCGGCCAAGGAACTGCAGTGCACTCTATCTGAACAGCCCAGTGGGTAACATGGGCAGCTTGCAGGACTTTGGGGAACTTCTGCCTCCTGTGTGTCCTTGGCAATTGTCTACAAGTTTGGATATAATTCAAATTGTATACTTAAAGGTCTAGTGTATAACATTGGGGTGGATCTATATTGTATTTTACACTTCCTTTGCTGAACATACAGCCTCATCACTTCAATTATTACATCAGTATTGTATAATCTGTAGGTCATAATGACAGTAGTACAGATGAAAACCCTCTTTTTCAAAAATATATTGTTTCATGTTCACTTAAACACAATATTTTGTACTAATATTCTTTAGAAATCCTATAAAGCATTTTAATTTTGTTCTTATAATTTTATGGGAGTTTTTTTGTTTCCTATCTGAGTTATCAGTTTAGAATCAAAGTCTTTTCCTTTCTTTGTGTTACTGCCAGTTTTTCCTTTGAAAATATTTTGACTGCTTCACTTAGCCAAAACAGATCATTTTTCAAAGCCAACTGCAACATTACAGTAAATATATGGATGTACCACTGGATAATGGTTCTCAGTTTTAGCAGAAATGACTTCCATCTGAATCCTGGCAGAGAGCAGAGCAGACATGTTTTGATCATGGAAAAAAATTTGATTTTTCTCTTTGTAGGTTTTCTGTTTAAACTTGAAATCTTTGAGCCCTACTCAAAGCTGGTCCTGATTAAGCAACATCAAGGTGTGACAGATCTCTATACTGCTACACAGGCTCTGTGTAGACCATCATGGATCACTGTTTACAGATGGGTACCTCTTAATATGCAATACTGGTTGCTTTTAAGTTAACCATCTCACAAATGTTACTAAACAGAACATGCTTCAGTTTTGATCACTACATACCCATTTAAAGTTTTACATTCAGAGTTGTATGTGTTGAATTTAAATGGAAGCTGTTCAGCATGAGGAGGATGACAGAAAAATGTCTGTCTACACTTGTGCTTCTGAAGATGACTTTCATAACCACAAGCAGGGCTGCCACTACTGATTATTTTTTATCATCGCTTCATCTTCTGATAACTTCCCACTGCCTAAAGCCATGTCAAGTGCCTTGAACAAACAACCAATGCCGTGGGAGTTTCAGGTGAGGAAAGTTTAAAACAATCCTTGAACTGTAGATGCTCTGGTCAGAGGAGCATGAGTCCATTTGGTGTCATAGGCACCAGCAAAACCTGCCATACGACCACAGTCTGGCTTCACCTGGAAGGCTGAACTGGATCAAGCTTTTATGTACTCTAGTTGAGATCAAAATAAAAGACGGTTGGGAAAAACTTTAGATTAAATGCATTGAAGTTCATGTTTAAAGTTTGGCTTTGTGTCAAAGCGAATTATTTATCCCGAAGAGCTTGGAGCCGCGGGCTGGTCTGGCATCGATTAAGATAAGAGTTTGTTAATGTCTGTGGTTCTTGTGGAATGGCTCCACTCATTCAACAAAAACAAAAAGGGAGAGACTGTCTAATTTTCAGTGTCTCTGTTGGAAAATTGGGGTGAATTTGAGCCACAGTTGCCAGTGTCTGAAGTTTAGATGGTTTTTCGGCCTCTCTGCAGTGTCCCTGAACCAGATGACAAAGGGCTAGGGTAGACTACAAGGCAAGAATGTTGGCACGCCGGCATGCAGTTCTGTAACTCTGCACAGCTGATAACAGATCAGTTCATGATCTCTTATCTGTGTGTTCACTTGAGGACTGAAGGAAAGCCAGATTTGTTCTTTGGTGTAGGGCTCAGTGTGCTGCTGTACAACCTCAACAACTTCAGCAACCTCAGGAGTTAATTTCACACCAGTTACTCCTAGAAGTGAATTGCATGCCCAAAGAAAGCATTTTGAACTGAATGAAGCTGACAGTTTGATGGAGGCATTTCTAACAAGATGGAAAGAGGAGAACACTAAACACATTCAGAGATGCCAGGGGAGGGAGAAGCATGTCCTTGGTTTGATGTTTGGGAATCAAGCCGAACCCCTGATGGAGGACCAAGGGGTGGAAGCCAGATTAACAGATTCCCTCACATGCGCCATCTGTCATGTAAATATGTTCCTATGCTGACCTGAAGTCACCAAGTCATATTACTAGCCTGATTCTGACTGACTTTCATGCTGCTGTCTAATAATTGAACACAACTGCAGACCTGTATTTACAAATCCTAAATACCTGCATGTTCTTCAAGTCTCTGCAAGTTTAAGTTCCTGGAAGAAGGGAAATCTACCTGAAAACTAAAAGTAGTTTTACCTGCTTGTCCTTCATCCTCCTCCGCACAATCCCTATTTTTTCACCTTGTTTTTCAACCACATCACAATTATTGGGCTTTCTAAGGAAATTTTGGACGCTCAGAATGAATTGACCGAATCAGAGGAGAATTTGACGTCAAACCATTTTCCAGATAATTGTGAAAACGTAAACCTAATTGTTACAGCACCACCTTGAGATGAATGAATGTCAAAGCAAATGCTTTTCTAGAGCAGTTGTTCCCAACCTGTGGGTTATGAATCTGAAGAGATGATTAACAGGGTTAGAAAGCAGAAAAAATAATACTGCTACACAAAATTGGATTTTTTAAATGTATTCTAACTTAACCCTTTTATCGATAATTACTGGCTGGTTTTATCTCATCAGGCCTCTTACATCTTCACCTCTCCTAAACATGGGTAACCAGTGACAGTGTCGCAGGTATACATAGCTTTGTTTGAAGGTGTCACATGCCAAAAATGTTGGGAGCCACTGGCCACGAGAGCAATGACACATGTTGACGTATCCTGACTTGTTCATATGGGATGACGTGTCAGAACTCCACAGATGGGTGGAACAGAGCACAGTGGGTGTGGGTGTATTTCCTTTGACAGACAGCAATCCTGTTAGCATCACCCTAGAGCTTGCAGTGTTCATTACAGTCTTAATGAGTGCTGGGCAGCTCAAACAACATCCTAAAGATTTATCTATTCTCTGAGCTGGGTGAAAGGTCATGGGGTCATTAAAGGGTCAATTCTCTGCGGAACAGAAAAGAGATTGGGACATGTCATCACACTTCAAAATTTTGGAAGTGGAAATTTTGTCCTGCCAACATACACCGGCAGTGGTATAAACTCAGTTTATTGTCCTACTATATATAAAAATATTATCTTTTCATTGGTAAACGAAAGTATACGACACCTTTCTAGTCTTCTGGCCACTCAAAGTGCTTTACACTACATGTTACATTTACCCGTTCATATACTGATGGCAGAAACTGCATGCAAGGTTGCCACATGCTCATCAGAAGGGGTTCAGCAGCTTGCTCAAGGGCACTTCAACATGCAGCATGACTGAATCATCAACCTTCTGATTAGTGGACGACCTGCTCTATCTGAGCCACAGCCCCCATTGTGTTCTGTACTTTCAGCAGTGAGTTACAGATGGAACAACAACAACTTTCTGCATACTGCAGATTTAATGATAATTAACCTGATCAGCCACTACCAGTAATCAATACACAAGCTAATAAACCATTAATCAAACAAATAGGTCAACATCAGACTCATACTTTAGTGTTTTCATAGTGGTAACAAAATGTAAAAAAATAGACATAGCAGTTTGAAAACCTCCCTGCACTCTCTGGGGATAATATTATAATCCCTTTAAAAAAGATTACATAATAACAATGCCTTATGTCCATAAAAACACCTAACTCACATAAAGTGTGTCATATATTGACAGTCTTCTTGTTCATTTAGCATCAGTGTAATCCATGAAGATAAACCTTCCTTGCAGACTTTACATTTTATGACCTCGACTTTCTAGCCTCCGTTGGTTAACTGCACTTAGTGGGAGAAGGCTGTGGGAGAATACTGTGGGAATGAGGCGAACAATTAAAAAAAATTAAGATTTCTCACCAAAATAAGTGCTGGTTGGTGGATAAAATATACACAGAATTAAAAACCAACTTGTAGCACTGTTAATCCACCATCTATTGTGTGTGTGTCTTTTGGTCCATGGCTATTCCTGACTAAACCCTCATTTGTACAAGCATTATATAAAGGGAAATCGCTACGGCAGATGGTGGCAATTTTAAGTTAATTTGAGATTTAAAGATCAGCAGTGCCTAAGTTACAATTTTTTTTTTTATGCTCAGTATCTTTTATGAATCAAAGTTAAGTACACCATCAGAACTGATTTTAAGACTTGGTTCCAGTATAACTGAAGAACATTTTTACAAATTAGAAATGAGGCCTCAGGACTTTCCACAGTCACACGAAGCTGATTGAAACATGTTAACCAGAGCAAAGAGAACCATTTTAACAAATATTCCTGGTGACCAAATGTGGTCATGATTCATGTTCCTCACACGAGAGCCTGAAAACAAAAGCTAGAGAACAGGAACCACCAAGGCTGAAATATTTCCACTCAGCAGAGCCAAATCTAATCACTGCGCCTGGTGAGCACCAAGGCTCCAGAAATCACTCTGCCAGGATGAAGACGATTGGTGAGGTTGGGTTTGGGGTGGATTTGTCAGATGGAGAAAACCGATGGATGACATCAGAGGAAGAAAGAAGACAGAACTGATGGAGATTAAAATAGTAAAAGTATATAAAATAGTATATAACAAAAAACTATTTTGTATCCAGGATCTTTGTTTATTCTGATGGTCTACTTTGTATCACGTTTTGTTATCATCTCAAGGAAGTCATGTGACAAAGGGATTTTTATCAGCACTGACAGTCAAATGACAGTTAAAAGCTTTTACTTGTAAGAGAAGAAAAATAATTGGAATAATTGAAAAAAGGATCTGAGTACTTCTTCCACCACTGGCTGATGCATCTGCGATAAAATGGGTGCTAATAAAAAAAAGCAAAATTCAGGCACTTTTATTGTACTTTATATATATTTTTTTGTTTCTTGTGCTGCTGTAATGTGAATTTCCCCATAGGGATCAAAGATGCAACTGAAACAACCAAAGTTCCTGTCTGACGTCTTATCATGCAATGTGACAATCAACTATAGAACCTGACATGCTGTATATCATTGTAACACTATATATGTATTGGAAGTTCTTTTGGTTACACCAGTCACCAGAGTTCCTCAATAAAATCCATTTAGGCAGACGATCCTTCAGATTAACTGCAGAGCTCAACGTATAGTCCTGAAATCCTGTCAGCTAACCAAGACTCCCAGCTTAAGCTTTTGATCTTTAACCCCAGACACATTAACCCTCTGTCTCTCTGTGGAGGGCAGACTGAAAAACAACGTGCTCCCATAAACAGAAAAGAACTTTTTATAGCCTGCTGTGATGAACTTTAATCCAGCTGCTGTCACTGACTTTCTTCAAAAACTGTGACCTCCCATGCTGTCGGCTTTTCTGACTATTTACTGTAAGTCATTATGAGTCAGAGTGTCTGCTACATGACTGAAACTCCACCTAAATGGGACCTTCAGTGTCTCCATTATAACTGATGTGCAGCTTTTGACCAGAATGTTAATGCCTGTTGGGTAAAAACACCACTCAGAGACTTAAAAAAATGTGCTGCTGTGTGTCTGATTTCTAAATTGCAAGGGTATTGTTCAGTGTCGGCCAACATTCCTGGCATGACAGGGCGCTCCCCCCCTCCCCCTCCTCCCCTTTCCTGCATCACCCAAAAACAGACGCTCAAGCCATGCTGTAACACCCAGGGTTGCCGCCTCCCTCAGGGTTTAAAAATACATTTTATTTTCCTCTTGGTGCAGAATAACAAAATCTGAAAAAAAAGTCAAACTTTTGCCAGATAGAAATGAGAGAAACAAGCTTGAAATAGTTAGCTGGTGAAAACGTGGTACCTGAGTTTAACAGCTCGCCTGTAGATGCTGCACACCGACCAATAATTAGCAGGTGAGGTGGGGGTCTCTTCTTTGGGGTCACCGCAGGGGTCATGGTGGCCCTCTGCGCCGTACGTCCAAAAGACTTTTATTCATTCCCTCTGTCAGTCTGAAAGACAAGCCAGCTATCCACACTTATATACAGCCCAGAGAGGGAGGAGAAAGCGTCACTACCACAACACAGCGATTAGAGAACAGAGAGGGAGGGGGTGAGAAACACAGAGACATAGTACAGATAGAGAGAGAGAGGTTCTAAATCCCTGCAAGTTTTTTGAGCTTCTCTGAGGTCTGATCCTCTGTGGAAGAAAAGTCTCAACTCAACCACTGCAGTCAGCATCAGACAGGAAGACAGACATAAAAACACAGTTTTCAACAACAAATGTGCATGTCTGTGTGTGTGTGTGTGTGTGTGTGTGTGTGTGTGTGTGTGTGTGTGAGTGTGAGTGTGAGAGAGAGAGAGAGAGAGAGAGAGAGAGAGAGAGAGAGAGCGAGCAAGTATACAATGTTACGGCTGCTATTATTCATATTCATTCATATACTACTTGCTGGCTATGAGTAATGGGTTGCCTGTAGTGATGAACCCAAAAATAATTGTCACCTTAGTATAAAGTTTGCTCAGCGTCTTTCAACTCAAATGTTTTGGTTTTTTACGGCCTGCAACTTTACTGTTTTTGAGTAAATTCTTGAATAAACCAAAAGTTAGTGAGTAGCCGGTTTACACAGTAGAGCAGTGGCTCCTTAAGGGCCCCCTTTTCTATCACTGACAAATGTGCAGCCCCTGACTAAGTGACATGTTTTATGGATATTTCATATTCTATTCAGTGCATAACAATAACAGTACAGAACAACTGATAAATTGTACAATGAACCCAAATAGTGAACACAATAACTGCAGGAAGTTAGCAATTTGGATTAATTTTGAGCAGATTATTAAATATTGCATGAGAGATGAGTTTTCCTGATATTTATAGGATTTTTTTATACAATTCTCAGACAGTATTATGTGTTGTTGTTGTCTTCTCATTGTTCTATTAGCTCTTTGGATGTTTTAACTAACAAATAATACAAATTCCTCTAAGAGAAAATTATAACTAGTTCACTGTTGTAATAATATATATATATATATATATATATATACATATATGTCATATAATTGAGGCCTGTATTAAGTAATTTTATTGCTAACACTGCAGACCTTCATACCAGCCAAGTTACTTCTGAACTGCAGGTAAATAAAGTGGCCATGATTATTTCTGTAATATCTGTATCACAGATGCATGTTTAAATATTGAAAACTTTACAGTTGTTGGGAGAAACAAAGAAAGTCTTTGCAGTAAACAAAAACTCATTGGCTGTTCCACTGCAGTATATGTAGGAAAATCACATTTGAAATAATATTATGGTTAAGATGCGTCTGTTTTGAGTTGTGTAGGGAAACCTTTTGTTAATGTTCAAAGTCCAAGTCATAAATGAATTTGTAGGGAACCATGTACTTTCAAGTCTCTGGAGCTGCAAGTAAAAATGCCCAACTTTAGAAAATAATTTGTCCTTATCCCCAAAGCTTCATAAAAAAGAAAGAACCACTCTATATCATTTAATGTTCAATTCTAACATAGGCCTCCTCTGGTCTTTGTCACTGAGGTATGTAGGACTACATCATAAATGTAATGGTTAAAGACACCCTGTGGAGTTTCTGACCACCAGTAGGAGTGTTCTTGTGAACGAACCTCCATTTTGTTGACGTACATGCATGATGCATGATGCATGACGTGATACACATTCTTCAAGGATTCACTCAATGCATTTGGTGAGTAACACTGAATGTAAATATAACTTCTGTTTGTTTGCAAGAAAACCCCATGAGGCTTCTTTTAATGAATGCCATTTGACTATGAAAACTGGTCTTGTAATGTGTGTTTAAAATGTGAAGGGTGATGCATTCAATATATAACTTTTTTAAGGAAATGTTAAGAAAAAGCTACATTTACTGATTTTGTAAAGACTTTTGGATTTGGAGATGCTATAACCAACAGAATACAAAACTCTCAGTGGTGAGAACAAGCAGTAAAGCTTCTGGGTGAGACAGGGAGTCATCATTAAAAGTAGAATACATATGGCATTTGTTGTGCAGTTTGCACCACTAAGTACACTTTTGTAACCATGCATTCTCTCTAATTTGAACATTCAAATGGGAGATCAAAATGGGAACAATGGGAAATATCATACAGTACATGCCAGTCTTGGCCTTTCCAAACCAATTTAATAAGTGAAACCACATAAACTCAAAAAGCCCTGAGAAAATCTGTGTAGCAGAGAAAACAGGAAATCGCCAGGGTCTCAAAACTGCCAAATGACAACATACATCAATTTCTTTTTCCATCAAAATAAATATGCAGCAGTTCTAACTAGTATCTTCATTGCCATCTATTTCTTAATTTGTATTCTCACTTCTCGGTGCAGCAGAGTGTCACTGTGCTGATTAAATGGCATTACATGTGGACCCAGCACTTTAGCCCAACCCGAGCTGAGATTCCAGTGGTTAACCACACATATTTACAACCTGAAGACAAAAGTCACAGTGAACTCGATCCCTGCGGGTCCCTCTGTTAAATGTACACATGGATTTTCCCTTTTTAATGGTGTGTTTTCATACTGAGTAAATATGTCATCAATCTAAAGAGCATTTACAGTGATATGTAGCAAGAAACACAACATTGTTTGTATTTTTTTAATTGCACATGGTCATATGATATTACGGGAGAAACCTGCCTGAGAAAACTTTCTCCTGTTACTTATAATTAAAATATTAACATCTTCAATCATTTATGTTTATTCATGAGCTTTGAACATCAGAGAGCATGTTTCCATGCTAAGAAGGTTCTGGTGCTAAGAGTCTGGTTGGCTGCTGACTTTCTGAATATAGGAATTTGATGAGCAAACATGATAAGGTCTTCATGTTACACACACAACAGACTATTCACAGTGCTTGCTGCTCCTTTATGACTTTAGATACAGAGTCATGAAGCACTTTGACAGCCCCGAGTCCTCATCGACTGGATTATTGTTGGATATTCACCAGCTCCAACAGAGAGTGTCAGATTATGTTTGTAGCCTTAAAGTTCCACTCTAGACACAGTTTAAAGTATGTAGGGAAAAAAATACAATAAAAGGGGGGAAGCAAATCTACTCTTTCTCCCTCAAGGAATTCTCAATCTATGAGTGCCCCGCCCACCACTGCTGCTTGCACTAGGTTGTCCAGTGAAAGAGCAGTGTGCTCCGATAGCTAGGTTTAGAGGAGATATTAGAGATATGTCAGTGTGTTCACATTGTATGTTGTTTTTGTCACATTGATATTAGTGGTAGTAAAGTAGTAGACAGTGTAAAGGTCTTTTCAGATGGGAAGTGACACACAACGCAGATGGTCCGCACCTCCCTAGCTGCCCACTCGCCTCTCATTGAAAATTAATTACAAGGCACGGTAATCGCTCCACCGCTAAAAAGACATTAAGGAAACTCCGGGGTCTGATTTAAATCCCAAAACTGCACACTCTACCATGTTTGTTGTCAAACCTTTCACTATGCTAGTGCAATCTATTGCTCTCTGTACTGATGCTCTGCGCTGGCGGTTTCAGGCTTTGTTGCTGGTGGCATTTGCTAGACAGCGATTGGCTTTCAGATTTGTTGCATACCAAAGCTAGCTTGCCCAGTTTTAGCGAAGTGTACAGACACCACCCCCTTCAGTAGAGGAATGTGAAAACACCTTTCAAGTGAGAAACTTTGCACAGATACAAGTCAGTAAAGTCAGGGGGTGGAGGGGATCTTTAATGTTGTTACTCTTGAAACTTAAAGTCAGTTTATAGTCAGTGTTTCAGACAGAGACACATCTGTTCTGGATGCACAGAGATGAAACTGATATCCATCTTCTAATGACATCAGAACTTTGTGCGTGTGTGTGTGTGTGTGTGTGTGTGTGTGTGTGTGTGTGTGTGTGTGTGTGTGTGTGTGTGTTTTCTATAAATCACCAGCTACTGTGAGTCAACCTCAGCTGTTTTTTCTTCTCTCCCGGATAATCAGTGATCAGTGACTTCCTCAGATCTTCTCTCTGAACTCATCAGGTGCAATTTTCTCTAATTTGCTCTCTGAGTTCACCTTCCAATTTAGTCTTCTTTAAAACAAAAGCACATGCATACAGTGTTTGTTTCATTGCCACGGCAGGCCGAAGGTTGAAGCTGCAGCGAAGGACATTTTGACAGCCAATGGGATGCCCCATCAGTTGTGACGGACTGTGGGTGGTAATTAGATGCTCTGCATTTCTGCGTAGGAGGGACATGAGAGAGCAGTTTGGTGAGGGTGAGTAGAAATCTGAGGAACTCTGTTTGGTGAAGTCAGTTGTGTTTTCTGATGCTCGTCAGCAGCAGCTCAAATACACTCTTCAATGATACGTTGCTTTAAACAGAGCTATGTGTTTTGTTTGGAAAAATGCACATTTTTCATTCAGGGAAAACTACCCTCTAGCTAACTTTCCATGAATAACTAAAGCTGTTTTCCATCAAGAGAGTCACAGGAGCCAGAGATTTTAGGGACTACAAATGTTCCTCAGCCGTTACATTAGACTAATGATGAGGTCAATAAAAAAGTTTGGTTTGACACGCAATGAGACAACAGCACAGTATAGACCTTCATGGAGTTGGAGTTAGAGTTTGTTTCTTTGTTATATTTGTTGCATGAATGTTATATTGACGACAGCGGAAATAACCGAACAAACACTGGGGTTAAAATTCCTCAATAGGATGAAATTTTATTTTCCTTTATGCATTAAATCATTTGGGTCATGGTCTGAAAACATCACAACATATAGACCTTCAGGTTTATTGATTAATATATTAATGGATGACCACAACAAAAGCCCATTAATATTAGAGAAATGATTAAAACGTTATTAATTTTATTGAAATGTCCTCACTTTCCAAAACTGTCCTTACTATCAAAAAAGTTCAGACGAAATTCGCCATTTTGAATGAACATCCTCAAGATTCATGTGGATCTGAAGAGTTCTTTATTTGGGGAAATGGAGGTATCTGCATTCTTGATGCAAGTTAACTTGATGCAAGTTAACTTT